GTGGAAGGATCGCCAGAATTCAGCAGGTTGACGCTGGCGTGGCGATGAGTGTGCCACTGCACTCCAGCCTGGACGATGGAGTTAGAATCCAACTCAAAATTTAAAAAAAAAAGTAGGGAATGAACCAATGCTTATGATTTAAATGCCTCTTAAAGAAACTGTACTAATTGAGATATTTAATATTTTCTATTACTGTTGCTTGTAGGATGGGTGTTGGAACAAAAAGGAAAGCGTTAATAATATTGGGAAGGGTTAATGACGAGAGGTAAGGGGGATGAGATGAGATTCTGACTAAAGGAGAAGAAACAGGGAAAAACAGCAGGACATTTGTCAGCTGTAACAAACATGTTCAGTTCTGCATTATGTACAGAACAAATGTAGTGAACATGTACTAGGATCTCTCTCTCTCTCTCTCTCTCTCTCTCTCTCTCTCTCTCTCTCTCTCTCTGGCGTATTTTTCTTCTGGGGCATCTTACGAGTCTGCAGGCAGTAGCTGTAGTTTGAGTTCCTGTGTACGACTTTATCAAGTTGCTATGCTTCCTCCTACTCAGCAGCCCTCATTCTTAAGAAATGCCTTTGTCATGCATTTGGGAGAATCCTAATTTGTGGGCACTGCTCTCTCTGTCCTGTGCCCGAGCTCCAGAGTGTTTATTTCAACAGTGCTCATCAGAGACTGCTGAGTGTGAGAAAAAGAACACTGGACTTGGAGCCAGGATACCTGAGTTTGAGTCCTCGTTGCCATAACCATACTGTGTGATCTCAGGCAAGTTCCTTCCCTTCTCTGGGCCTCAGTGTAAAAGAGTGGTCTGTATTATATTTATTTCCACTCCATATAGCTGTTCTAGTATAGGAGTGGCATTTGTGTTGCTTCTGTTGTTTTCCTATGAGAAGAAAGACAATAAGCAAACACAAACAAGAAAGGGACCATGAGAGATACAAGAATAACTGCCAAAAGTCACAGTTCTTTAACAGGAAACCAGTTCTGTGTGGCCTTCCTGTATCTAGCCAAATGTACTGAGTCTCATTTAAAAGATGCTATTGTTAGGCTCAGTGCACATGAATGTAAATAAGGACTAAAAGCAAAACTTAACTGTTAACCACATAGATGAAATACAAGCAAAATAAACAACACAGTCAGAAGTCTGCCTTTCTGAGCAATACATTTAGACTATTTTCAATTGTTTCTTCACAAACCAAATGTTCACAACATACACCACCATTACTGCCTCTCTTTAGAGGGAGTGAACTCCAGAATAATTTAAGGAAGGACTATTTACCTGTGGATCATTTTCTCTTAAATAAAGTGAACTTAAAATTACTCTCAGTTGTACTTCTTTTGGCTACACAGAAGCCCTAATCATTATTACTGTCTTGGTTTCAATGACAAGAGACACTTCAAAATGAAGATTCTCATCCTTTTAGCACCCATCTAAATCGGAGAACTTTCACACTTTAAGGACTAGTTCAATCCTTCCTTTACAGAGGGAAAACCTTAGGCCAGTGTGATAAAACGGCTTGTGCAAAGTCCTAAAGCTCTTTTGGTTGGTGGCAAAGCCAGAACCGGAAACTTCCACACCTGATTTCCAGCCTAATGCCCCTCCCACCACATCTTTTCGTTCAACCCAATGATTATATGCTGAGTGCCTGTGCCACACTATCCTTATTTGTTTATAGGTTTTCCCTTTAAGGACTTGGTGTTTATTTCTTTCTATCCGCCTAGACTTTTTGTAAATGATCCCTTTCTATTTTCCAGTGTCTTCGTTTGCCAGTCAGATAATCCCTTCCTGCCAGTCTTTGAACATTGGCAGAAGGAAATTGAAGTCCAGTTTGAATAAGTACATCTCACATAATTTCCAGTTACTCCAAATTTCAGTTAGGGTCCACAGATTACTTGTGTACTGATACCATAGATGCTACCACAGTGAGAGGTTTGAGGCTCGGGTCCCCACTGGATGCAGCTAAACCCAATCCAATCCCAGTTGGTGACATGCTCACAGCCTTTGCTGGCCTCTGTGTGCTGTTGATTTAGTATATGAAGTCAAATGAACTGAAGTTCCTGTGACCCTGAAAGAAGCCAAAACCGCTACCCACATTCTAGAGTTCAGTGAACACAGCTGCTTCTACTCTACAAACCCTTTGATTTTATGCACTTTGATCTCCATCCCTCTCTGAAAGGCCCTAATCTCAGTGTTTGCATGGTGACAACTCTTATCAACTTGGTGTATTAGTTTTTTGGGGGGACTTCATCTGGCTCCACTATTTATTTCTTCCTGAAATTGGAATTCCAGGACACAAGTTGTCCATTGGTAGGACCATTCCTTTTGTTTCGTTTCCAGTGTCCACTGTGATAATATGATGCTTAACATTCTGTGTTGCAATGGCTCCCTGAGCTGCTTTCTTCAGAAAACAACAGATCTCTCTCCTAAGAGTAATTCCTAGTTCTGCCTTATACGATTGGCATGCATTGCCTGCCGTATGTTTGCCCACGTTGTAGCTCATTTACCCTTTTTCCTCCTAACCCACTTAGGTTTTGATGCGCTTTGGTACCTCCAACTTAACATTTCAAACCAGAAATGGCAAGCGTCTTACGTGAAGTTGAGTGATTTCACAGAGCACTTCCACTACCAGCTTTACTGGTAGACGCTTCAAGTAAGAACATAGAATCTTGGGATTTGAAGAAGCCTTAAATTTCATCTAGTCCAGTGCTGTTATTGGGAGGTCATACCAGGATAGGTTTAGATACCTCTAGATGCAGAAAACTCATTACTTCCTAAGGGAGCTCATTCCATTTTGGACAACTCTGATGACCTGAAAATGTTCAGATGAAATGCTTTTTGTGTCTTCCACCTAGTGGATCTAGTTCCGCTGTCTTGGAAGCTAGAGCATAGACAGCACATCCGTTTTATACACAGCTCTAAAGTCATGTTGTGAAGACCACTATGAAGTCCATTCCCCATCTTTTGTCTTGGCCTGTGTCTTCTTTTCCTTAAACCAAACTTTCTGAGATTCTCTGGAGCAGTTCTTGTCGTGAATGCTGCTTCATTTGCATCCTTGATTATGTATTACTACTCTTTGCTTTACTCTTTAAGCTAGGGGCTAAATCACATGAAAGACTAATTTGGCTTTTAAGCATCCTTTGGTGTGGAATCTCATCCAAAGCTCCTCATTCACTGTTTCATTCATCCCTTTGTTCAGCTAACACGTGTTGAAGTCTTTGCTCTTCTTGATAGAAATACAACATTGAAAAAATTGCAGTCCCCTGACCTTGAGTGGTTCAAAAAGGAGGAAGGGACTAAAACAAAGCACAGTCAGTGCTACAAGAGGTGTGTATGGAGCAGTGGGGACATAGGGGTGGGGGATTGGGAATTGGGCGCTGTTTCACAGAGAAAATGCTAAGACAGGATTTTAGAGCAAGTAGGAATTCACCTGGGAGAAGAAGAGAAGGAACCCTCCGTGTGCTAAAATGCGTGGCAGGTCAGAAGGATGCCCTGCCTTGGAGAGCTATAAGGAGTGTGGCATGCTGGGCTCGGTGGCTCAGCACTTTGGGAGGCCAAGGCGAGTGGATTGCCTGAGCCCGTGAGTTCGAGACCCACCTGGGCAACTTGGCAAGACCTTGTCTCTACAATAAATCAAAAATTAGCCAGGCATGGTAGCGCACGTCTGTAGTTCTGGCTACTTGGAAGGCTGAGGCGGAAGGATGGGCAGAGCCCAGCAGGTTGAGGCTGCGGTGGCTGGGAGCGTGCCACTGCACTCCAGTCCGGGCGACAGAGTGAGACTCCAACTCAAGAAAAAAAGAGTGTGGGATGGCCCGAGAGGGCTGCAAGAGGAGGGATGCAGAGGTAAAGAACTCCACCTAAGGTCAGGACCCTGCTCATCATAGAGTTCTCGTCACATCCAGCCAGCACTCGCCGATCGCAGAAGCCGTCTACTTAGTATCTTCAAGCCAAACTAAGAGTAAGGGACTGTTTCAAGTGATAAGTCGTGATTTGAATTCGGGGTGAATGTGCAAAGGAGGCACAGTCTCCCTAACTAACAGCCCGTGGAGCTTGTGGGGGTTGACAGATCAGGAGGGGTTTTGCATATTTCAGAAGGGCTGATGACTCTGCTTTTGAAACACACCACTGAGTGAGCCAAACAGAAACAGTAGATAATGGAGAGTGGGCACTTCGGGTACTCCCCCTGGTGTTCCCCAGATTCTCCCATGTGGGTAGAGATGAAGAAGTTCCAGGCTAATGGATTCCCACCCTATCTGAGCAGTGCCCTCTGCCTCCATGGGTCCAGTTCTCCTTCCATGTCCACATCCTACCTGCCGGTGGACCGGAGACAGACTAGATCTGACATTTTACCTTTGGGGTCTGCCTCTCCTCTCCCTCCTGCAGATGCTGCATGCTGCAGGCCTCATATGGCCCCCTGTAGGGATGTCCTCCTGGTTGTAGTGGGGGTGGGGCGATGAGAAAGGTCCAGAGGACCTAGTTACTGCATCTCCTTCCTCGGTCAGTAGTCCCAGAGCACTCCAGGGAACCTGGAAATACCAAATATTCCATCCACCTCCCAGATTCTTGCCGAGACGTGCTCGAACTAAATATCACTGACACGAGGGTTCAAGGCTTACTGCACTGGGACGTGAACTCCACTCAAAGCAGCAAAGCTAAATAACTTCACCTTCACAGCTCTGGTCACCAAAGGTTTATTCTCATTTCAGAATAAGTTACCTCAGATCTCAGGTGATATCAGTTTAAATTTTTGTAGAGACAAGTATTATTGAAACCAGCAGGCAAACGTTGATCTTTGTTACACTGAAATCAAGCAGTGAACTAGGCATTGTGAGAGATTGAGCAGGAAGTTGGAATGGTCATAAACAAGGCACAGCAGATAGATTTACATATTCTCGGGTTTTGCTTTTTGTATTTTCAATTTCTGGTGTCCCACCCTGTGTTGTACTTTGTCTTTTCAGGCTGGTTCTCCCAAGTGGACAGGAACAGGCATTCACGTCACAGGGGATGGCTGAAACTGAGGACTGTGTGGGTTGGGAGCCACATCCAGGTAACATCCCTGCAGTATCTCCTGATGGAGTCCATGTCTTATGAGTGAAGGCAAAGGGGTTGAGACTGTATTTAGCTGGAGTCATTGTTCCTTGCTCTTTATTCAGAATTTGCTTTCTCATGCAAGTTAAATAGCGAATAGATATCAATTATTTCATCAGTAACTAAAATAGCCTATTCATAAAGACATGAACTATTCAACCAACAGTTAAATTTGTAGAGTTTCCAGCCTTTAAATAAAAGAATGTTCCAGAAACAGTCACCTCGGACTCTGAAGGTAGCCTCTCTTACGATGGGAAATGTAAGGCACCTGGAATGATATCAGGCGGCTTTTCTTGGAAGGACAGATGTAGGCCTGTTGGAGGGGCTCCATTAAGGGTGAGTCATGTTGGAGTCAGTGTGGGTGACTTTTCTCCCTCAGAAGGCTGATGGAGGCTTCCTGGAGGCTTCCCTGGGACAGTGGCAGGGACGTAACCCCCCACATGCAGAAAACAGGTGTATCACATCCTTTGTGCTTTGCGGCTAGACGGGGAAAATTTTTCTCGCCCCCAGGGGATGAATTCCCTTGGGGGAAAGCATTGTCTTCAGGTCAGTGGTGTGATAGCCAGCAAGTGAAGCATGGCTGCAACTCTGAGGTCCTCTTGGTCAAGCTCAGTCCTGATGAACTTGGAAGGACTAAATTTGGCTTAGAAGATCCGTGACCTTCTCTGGCAATAGGCTGAATCAATAGTGACACTACATATCTGGGCTCCAACGGTGTGGGATCAATTTTCGAAGGTGACACCTTGTGGCAGCAAGAAGAAACAGCAGCAGTAGAGTAAGGCTGTGTTTTTGAACTGCCTCGGCCCACCACTGCTGATGGTTCGGAGGATAATTCGGTGGAGAATATTGGAAAAGACAAAAAGTGCCTGCGCAGTTAAAGAGAATAAGAGCTATGATCCAAGTTTATTCCAGTTCATTTTAGTTACTACCCTTACCTGGCATAAATCCAAGATAATACACTTTCTCCTTTCCAGGTGGCTTCACATTTGAGAAACTGAAGAAAAAAATTTAAGCCCAGCTATTTTTTCTGACTTCTCAGCCTTTACTTTAGTTGAGACATGAGCATTTAATCTCTTGTCAGATTAATTGCCAGTTCGTATAAAGTTGGAATAAGGGCCCTGGATGTGTGAACTTGTCCCTTATTTTATACTTGTGGCTAAGAGACTGCTATGTATGTAAACATTGTTTACACAAAAGAGCTTCTGACTTACTGCATTGACATCCTTTTGCATTCGTTCCACAGACAGGTCTTGGAAACATCCTGGAATTACAAGATGCCTTTTGGAACACAGACCAAAGTGTTCTTCAGCTCATAGCTGGCCTAGGTGCCTCAGTGACATGTGCTTTTTCTCTGACTTTTTCTCTCCAGCTCCAGCCACCGAGCCAGCAACCACTTGGTATTTAGTTCTAGTGCGGTCCTCACACTGAACCAGGATGAATTCTCTGCGCTGAACTCAGTCATAAGTAGAATGTCTGAGACAGAAGAGTCTAAAGTAGAACCTCCCTGTGACTGCATGAGCATGAGGTGGCAAATAGCATGGCTCTGCCCTAGACTATTCTACTGGCTTCAGAGCGCAGCAGAATTTGTACTGGAAGATGCAAGGCTGAACAGAGGGGGAAGGCTGCCTGGAATGTGTGGGAGACCCAGGTCTGGAGCCCAGAGGCAGGGGTGGGCCTTCTGCTTGAGCTCCCATCTTGGGTCCTCAAATGAAGCTCCTCCTCTGTGGTTCTTCAGGAAAGGACCTCTTAATGTCACATTCAGTTTCAGAGCCTCCTGTCCTCCTATACGCGGAGCTTATCATATAGTAATTCCTGGGGGGTCAACTCTTCTGGCTCATGTCACAACCATTTCCTAAGGCACAAGCCAGCCCCAGGAGCACTGGGTTAGGACCCTATCAACAGCCTTCATCCCAAGGGCCTACCTATTGCCTCTTTCCAGCCAGGTGAACGCCACCAAGGAGTGTTTTCTAAAGCCCACCCCAAATAGAACATTTTTGGCTATACCCTTTCCTGAGGATTATATCATAACCAAGGGCAACCACTTGAAGTGAATGAATCTGCAGAGCTGCAAAGATCTGGTTTCTGTTCTTGTCTGTATAAGGAAACAGCTGCCAATGTCTCTCAGTGATGAAGGGGAAAAATTCCCCCAAATTTAGTCTCTGAAGAGCATCCATCTTGTAGGCTACCCTCAAAAAACTCCTGTAATACTTAATTTTTTGTCAGCTCCCTCGTTTTACAGATGGAGACACTGTAAGAGGCTCAGGGAGAAGTGATTTGCCCTGTTCACATGGTCCATACTTTCCTTTGCAGTCTGCTTCTGATCAATTTTCTTCCTAGTCTGAAGAGACCCCCCCAAGACCTTTCTTCACCCCACACTTAGGCTTTTCCCTACACAGTTGGTTGATTTCCTAAATCTTGGCCACGTTGGCTTCTGAGGACTTCAAAGTAGAAACTTTTCATCTGGGGAGATATATTGAACTCTCCGTTTTAGAACTAAATGCAGAAAGTCTGTGACTCTGAGAAGTAGGAACCAAACTGAAATGACCCAACAAGTGTTTTTTTTCAAATGAGTTTATGGGCTGACAGAGCTGGTAGAGGTCCTCTAAGACTCCGGTTTGTGTGTTGATAAGATGAGGTCAAGGTACCATGCCCCAAGACCTATAATCTCGTATAACCTCTGTTCATCTCTAGTTGATGATGCCTTATCTAAAGAACCAATGAAAAAGAGACGACGATCAGATCGAGACAAGCGGTTCCGAGCATTTCCCTCCATGGAGCAGAGTGCCCTGAAGGAATGTGAGTGTCATGAAACTGTTGCACAACTTGTTTTAACATGGTGCTGTTCTTTTCCAAATCTGTTAAAATGCCAACTCAGCATGGTGGCTCATGCCTGTAATCCCAGCACTGAAATGGGAGAGCACGAGAAGCCAGGAGCTTAAGACCAGCTTGGACAACACAGTGAGACCCCGTCTGCAAAAAATGAAATAAAATCAACCAGGGATGATGACATGCACCTGCAGTTCCAGCTACTTGGGAAACTAAGAAGGGAGGATTACGTGAGCCGAGGAGGTTGAGGTTGCAGTGAGCCATGATCACGCTACAACATTCCAACCTGGGCAACAAAGACAGACTCTGTTTCTAAACAAACAAACAAACAAATACCACCGAATTTATTTTTAAAATTGGGTATTATTCTTAATGTTTAAACTTTAGTCACCTTCAAAGTACTCTCCATTTGATGCAATATACCGTTGAGTTTTTTCCACCGCTGTAAACAGTTTCTGAACTCATTAATTTTGATGCCTTTTAGTGCTTCTGCTGTTTCTTGTCTCACCTCTTGCACATCAACAAAACGTTTCCCTTTGAGGACTTTTTTTCATATGAGGAAACAAACAAAAAAGAGTGGTTGGGAGTGAGATCAGGTGAATAGGGAGGGTGCTGCATGGGGGTCTTGCCCATTTTGGTAAAAAACTGCTGAACACTCAGTATGGTGTGGGCAAGTGCGTTGTCATGATGGAAGAACCAGTCACCTGTTTGCCACACTTGAGATGTCTTTTCTTCAGATTATGATACAACCATCTCAAGACTTCCAGATAAAAACTTTGGTTGACGATGTGATACAGAAGAACAAATTTTGAGTGTACTACAAGGAGTTCACCCTCCAAAAGATATTTCTGATTTTTCTTGGGGTCCCCCCTCATATGCCAAAATGCTCAAAGGATGAGAAGGTTAAATTCTGAAGCTGGGCCGGACGCAGTGTAATGCCTATAATCCCAGCATTTTGGGAGGCCGAGGTGAGGGGATTGCATGAGCCCACAGGTTCGAGAACAGCCTGGGCAACTTGGCAAGACCTCATCTCTACAATAAATCAAAAAATTAGTCGGGCATGGTAGTGTGTGCCTGTAGTTCCATCTACTGGAAAGTCTGAGGCAGAAGGATCGCCTGAGTCCAGCAGGTTGATGCTGGGGTGGCCATGAGCATGCCACTGCACTCAGCCTGGGCAACGGAGTGAGACTCTGACTCAAAAAAAAAAAAAAAAATTCTGAAACTGGATGAAACATCTTTAAATGAACCTATTTCAGAAAGAGATCCCTCAAAGTCTCTGCAGAGATACGTAATTTGAAAATTTATCTCTAGGCATCTCTGGAGAAGGGTTGTTATCATAATAACCTGTTTCTGATTAAAACAAAAACTGTGAAGATTATTAGTTTGGTGCTTAAGTGAGTGTTTGACGTGGTATCCTTGCGGTTTTTTCCTCTTTATGATCACAGGAGAGAAGAATCTGGAAGGGCTAAAGTCCATGGTATAAAGCATACGATGACTTCTGTTACCAGGAATTTCAGAGCAACCCGACTCTGGAGGTTTTCAGAATCAGTGATTACTGTTTCCAATGAGTCATTATCTCTAGTGCCAGATAACTCGATATCTCGTTTAACTGGCTTTTCATTCCATTTCTTTTTTTCCTTCTCTGCAATGTTCAGCAGAATTCTCCTTTGGAGACCTAGGTACTTGCAGGTAATGTGTCTCTATTGATTCCAGATGAAAAGCTGGAATCGCGGACCAGAAGGGTTTTGAGCAACACCTATCAGAAACTTATTCAGTCTGTCTTCCTGGATGACAGCATCCCTAATGGAGTCAAGTATCTCATGTGAGTCTGAAATCCACTACCCTGAAATCTGATGTCTTGTCTTTCCTTAGGTAATTGTAGGTGCTTTTTCCCAGCAACAAAGAAGGGAGTTTTCAATTAGAAATTAATCAAAGAAGGCTGAAACTTTCTGTAGCTATGGGCCATATTATAATAACTGATAGTTGCCACTCATTGAGCTGTCACTGGTGTCAGGTAATCTGCTAAATACTTTACATATATCAAATGCTGTTTAATTCACACAATGCCCTGTAAAGAGGGAGCTGTTACAATCATTTCCATTTTACTGAAATTGAGGTTCAGAGAGGCCAAGGCATTGAGCAAGTGACACTGTTGGCCAGTGAGAGGGCCCAGAACCTGCCCCAGGCTGTGTGACTCCCAGGCTACACCCCAAACTATTTGTGCCTAGCTTACCTGAAGGACTTGAGTGATGAGGCTGCAATTTCTCTGGCTCAGAAAGACTCTGTATTACTCCAAATACTACTTTACCTCTGGATACATTTTATTTCCAGGGTCAAGAATATGCAGTTTCCATAGAACACAAATAAGGATGCCTCACATTCATCTAGACATCACAGAGTTTGCATAGAATTGCCATTACCAAATATGCTTGCATAATCTTGCTTGATCCCCAAACAAACTCTGTGTAGTAAACAGGGATTAATAGTCTTTGACCAACAAGAAAGGAAAGATTCAGAAGGCTGTAGTGGTATGTCCAGGATTAGAACTCAGGTCTTTTGCATTCTGCTTTGATGTTCTTCACACTATACTTCGATGAATATGACAATGTGCATTTTAAAATTGATCCAGAAATAGACTTCTTGCCTTAATTGAAAAGCCATCACTAGATCCAATCTACATTGGACTCTTTGGAAGCTCTGGGGCTGGAAAGAGCTCCCTGATCAATGCCATTATCCAGCAAGCCATGTTTCTACCAGTGTCTGGAGAAAGTATATGCACTTCATGCGTTGTACAAGTGAGCTCAGGCTGCTGTGTGCAGTACGAGGCCAAAATCCACCTTCTCTCTGACCAGGTGAGTGTTCCTTCCCTCCCTCCCTCCCTCCCTCCTCCCTCTCTCTCTCTCTACCTCCCTTCTTTCTTTCCTTCTTCACTCCCTTTCCCCTCCTTCCCTCCTTGCCTTCCTTTCCTCCCTCCCTTCCTTCCTTCTGTTTCTTTCCTTCCCACTGTCTTTCAATGATTAATGTTATATTCCTTGTAACCGTAGCTCATGCCTTTGTTGAATGAAAAGGGCATATCACAGAATGAGAGTTCAACAGCACAAGATGGGCATTCCAGCCAGGTCCTGTAACCGTTGTTTATGGGACTTTGAACAAGCCACTTCTCTCTTTGGGCCCTGGATTGGATGAGCTTACATTTTTGAAATATGCAGCCCCCCTGGCCCTTCATGGGGGGAAAATGGGCCCCTCCTTTTGTGGTTGTTTTTGGTGTCTGTGTCTTGAGGGGCTTGGTCCCACTCTGCCTCTGCAGGAGTGGAAGGAGGAGCTGAAGAACTTGACTAAACTTCTGCATGGGACGGAGGAGCTGGGCGGAGAAGAGGCGGACGCATGGGACGGGGATGACGCCACAGAGGATGCCGTCTGGAAGTTACAGATGGTTTATGGAAATGGGGCAGAAATTAAGAGCTATGAAGAGCTTCTAAGGGCGAAACCCAAGGGGAAGATTCCCACCTCCAGAATTATCACCCTCAAGGCAGAAGAGGTAGCGACAAAACTGCTTTTCTCTATTTCGTCATGGATCTTAAGTATAATAGTTGAATCTATTTAGGGGACGTGCTTGTGGTACTGTGCTTTTATTGGAAATATGTTGACACCCAAATCAGAAGTATCATGGCCCCCAAGTTACCTTTCATTATTTATGGTTGTCAAATGGGAATTTTTCGTGTCTGAATGGAGGAGCATTTGTGTACAGAAAAGTCTTGTGGTTACTTGAGGATTAATTAGGGATGATTTGGGCTGAAAGTGATTTTTAAAAAGACTTATGATGGCTGAAACAAATAGGGTCTTATTAATTTTCTTGTATAAGAAGAAGGCAGTAGGGGTCTCAGGTTGGCTTAGTGGCTCAGCAATGTCAGGCTCGGCACCTCTGGTTCCCTTGGCCGTCCGTCATCCTCATAGCCATGAGATTGCTACTGGAGCACTAGACTTCACAGCTAGCCTCCTGGAAGGAAGAAGTAAATAAAAAACTGGCACCAACCACCTCTCTCCTTTCATCAGAAAGTAAAAGTTTTCCCAGAAATACCTCCATCAAATTTCTGTGTAGATTTTATTTTTCAGAACTGAGCCACATGACCCTTCCTAACTGAAAGGGAGTCTAGAGAAAGCAAGAAGTAGACTTGTCATGATTTGCTTAGACCAGTCCCCTCTACTGCCTTCCCAAGAAAACAGACAAAAATATGAGGGTTCTGCTGGCACAGAAGGACGGGATGGACAGTCAATAGGCAACTAGTAGAACAGTATTCTTGCCTTCATCATCAATTTTCATTTTCATTTACAATTCAATTCATAAGCCGGGCTCGGTGGCTCAGCCTGTAATCCCGCGCCTTTGGGAGGCTGAGGTGAGTGGATTGCCTGAGCCCGCGAATTCGAAACCCGTCTGGGCAGCGAGACCTCATCTCTACAATAAATCAAAAAAATTAGCCAGGCGTGGTAGTGCGCACCTATAATTCCGGCTACTCGGAAGGCTGAGGCGGAAGGATCGCCAGAGCTCAGTGGGTCGAGGCTGCGGTGGCCAGAGCATGCCACTGCACTCCAGCCTGGGTGACAGAGTAAGCCTCTGACTCAAAAAAATAAAATAAAATAAATGCCTGGTTTTTCTTGTATCTTAAAACTCACCTTTAAAATATTGTTATTCTATTTACAAATCTGGCAATTTTTATATAAATGAGAATGATTGCTTATACTTATCTTAAAGCTCAATGTTTATTTATCTCCTGATTAACAAAGCAAATCTTCCTTAAATATTTAATGCTTACTTATATACATAATCAAATTTCCACAGGTTTTTGGTATTACAGTTAAGGTTTAATATGTTTGAGTTTCTTAAAATATTTTAAATACTTGACTGAGCATACCTAGAAATCAAATGAAGGAAACATTTTCAAAGCCCTTTGCTATGTTTTATGTATCTATAAAATCAAACAAATATCGCACTCATTTCTCATAGCATTCAAATGAATATTATTATTAAAATTATTAAATTCCTAATATCTAAAACATAGATGGAACATATACAAAGAAACGCAATTATTGCAGAACAGGTTCCTTTATCTGAATATACATAACATACACAAGGGTAGCAATATATTCATTTCTTTGTCACCTGCATGTTTAGAAATATTCCTTCCCAGTGTACAAATTTACCCCCATTGAAACAAGGGCAACAGAATTACCATCTCATTGAGTGAGGTTACAAACTCGGGGTTTCCCTTAGAGATTCTGGACCTAGATGAGGGAGTCTGAGTTTGCCTTCCATAGTGGTTTGCCCAAAACCACAGTTTATTGGGCTGAGCCCTCTTGCAGAAAGAGACTTTTCAAGCCCCTGCCTTTTCCTGTACTTCCTTCTTGTCTAATAAACTTTCTCAAAAAGTTTTAATCTTTTCTTTTCTTTTTTTTTTTGAGTTGGAGTCTCACTCTGTTGCCCAGTCTGGAGTGCAGTGGCACACCCATGGCCACCGCAGCATCGACCTGCTGGGCTTCAGCAATCCTTCTGTCTCAGCCTTCCAAGTAGCTAGAACTACAGGCGCGTGCTACCACGCCTGGCTAATTTTTGATTTATTGTAGAGACGAGATCTCACCAAGTTGCCCAGGCTGGTCTTGAACCCACGGGCTCAGGCAATCCACTTGCCTCGGCCTCCCAAAGTGCTGGGATTACAGACTGAGCCACTGCGCCTGACCTAAAAAACCTTTTGAAAATCAATTTCAATTTGGAAAATATGGTCACTGTCAATTTCTGTAGTCATTACTGACTTTCTGGTAATTAAAATGTTCACATGAGCCACATGGGAAGAATCCTCTCTCTTTAAAATTTAGAAAATAGCCTATTACACTCATTTTAGCATTGAATGGCATTTAGGAGACAGCTTTATTATCCAGTTATGCTGTAACTTTCCTGAAGTCTCATTTTAGGTGACTTCGGGTTTTTTTCATCTGTAAGTTAAGAAGCCTACATTTCCTGATGTCAAGATCCTTCCTGGCTCTTAAGGTCTTGGCTCTACAGACCAGATGGCAGGCCTCCTGGCACCCATCGTCCAGTGCATTTTTGCCATTACTCAGGATACCTTCCACAAACCTGCATCACAGCCGCCCCAGGAGAACAGAGCTGGGGAGCAGCCAGGGTATGTGACGCTTCCTCCTTCCTCAGGCGGGAGCGCTGTCTGTCAAGCTGGATCCCTACATCCGCACTCAGAGGAGACGCTGGGATGGAGAGTCCGCTGAGACACACATCTGGCCCTTGATCAAATACGTGGAAGTAACTCTTCCCAAATCTGAGCTGATCCCAGAAGGGGTCGTGCTGGTGGACATCCCAGGCACAGGCGACTTCAACAGCAAGAGGGACGAGATGTGGAAAAAGGTGACTGCCTTCTTCAGTTTCATTCTCTTCCTTCAACTCCTCCGCCTTTCTGAGACAACAAAGATAGCTCGACTCCCAGCTTAGGGGATTTTCTGAGTTCACTGGAATTAATTCTACTTTCTATATTCTAAACCTCAGGGCAGTGGCAGGTGGGTGGTCAGAGAGGTTGGGAGAGAGGCATCACGGGGTTTGCTTGTGTCCAGAACAAGAACGTGCGATGCGCACGTAGGGCCAGCGATAGAGGGACCTGAGAGTAAGCAGAGTCCACAGGGACAGGGTGGGCGAGTGATGGAGAGAGGAAGAAGGGGCGTGGTGGCAGCCGGTGCAGTGGAGTATAGGGTGGGAACACAGGACAGGGGCTGGGGAGGAGGCGGAAGGACCAGTATTACTGAGTTATGAGCTGCACAGAAGCTACCGGAGAATCCAGTTCTTTAAACTCTTGCCCAAGACTACACAGCATGTGAGCAACAGAGTTTGAACTGGAGAGCAGGTTTTTTTTTTCTTTTTTTTTTTGAGTTGGAGTGTCACTCTGTCGCCCAGACTGGAGTGCCGTGGCTGCTCCTGGCCACTGCAGCGTCGACCTGCTGGGCTCCGGCGATCCTTCCACTTCAGCCTTCCGAGTAGCTGGAACTACAGGCACGCGCTACCACACCCGGCTCATTTTTTTTTTTTTTTTTTTTAATTTATTGTAGAGATGAGGTCTCGCCAAGTTGCTCAGGTGTGTCTCGAACCCACGGGCTCAGGCAATCCACTCACCGCAGCCTCCCAAGGCGCGGGATTACAGGCTGAGCTACCGAGCCCGGCTGAGAGCAGGTTTCTTAACTTCTCAGCCAGGCTCTCTCTACCACCTCTCTGTCCAGAACAACCCCGTATCTGCTTCCTTTAAGATGAAGGCCTGGCCGTGTGAGGCTTCGTTTCCGCAGGGTCTAAGCTCTTGAGCGGAATCACCGACCTCAGCTAGTTCCAGGCCCGGCCAAGGGGACGACAGCTTAGGGAGGTGGCCAGGCCCCTTACCGGATGGAGCTGTGGCTGCAGCCAGTTCAGATACGCTGGGCAGTGTATCAGAGCCGGCACGTTGGCTCAAGCACAGTCTCTGAAAAGGTCGGCTGAAGTGAAGGGAGTGTTCCCAACGCCTCCGCATTCTTGTGGTTTTGCGATATCCTCTCACAAGGAGTTACTCAAGTCTTTCCTCTCTGCAGGGAGAACAGAGCACAGTGGCCCTTCCCTTCGCTCAGGCTGCCAGCTTTGCCTTCCCTAAAACTTCGGTGTCCCTGGTCTGCCACTTAAAAGTCGTGACCTGAGGCAGGTCACCTAACCCCTAGGCCCATTCTCATCATGGGGAGTGGTGGGGGGGATAGAGGTCGCAGTGGCAGGATGCCATCCCATCCACTCCTAGTTTCAGTCGTTCTTGTTTTATAGAAATGCTTTTCTGTTTTTCTGCGACCCTAACTTCACCAAATCCTGGCAGTCAGGAGCTTTGTGTGAGGCCTGAAACAATTCCTGCAACCTTTATGATTGCAGTCTTTGTCTCATAGTCATACACGTTTATTAAGCACCTGTAGTTTACCAAGACCATGGGGAATACAGAGGTGACAGAGGTCCCGCCCTCGAGGAGCTACTGGCCTGGTATCCTTAAAGTCTTCCACAGCCTGACTGACCATTCACCGCCTACTGGGTTGACTCTTCAGAGCCCAAAGTTTCCCTGAGTTGACTGTAATTTGGAAGTGGAAGGGCAGTGATGGCTTTTGTTTTCTTGCCTGATCTGAGTCCTTTCATGCACAGAGGAGGTCCAGATCCATAGTAGCGTGGCCCTGTGTTAATCTCAACATTTTTCCTGTTAATTAATAACTTGTAATTTCATGTTCCTCGACCTTTGCAACTGGCGTCATGTGATTTCTGGCCATGTGCTGGAACACACAGTGGCAAATATCAAAACGATGCCACAAGGTGACAGCTTTGGGGTAGATGCACCACTAAAATTAGCTCTGGAAGAACAATACTTTCCCCCCGAGGAAAACTGAGGGAAAGCAAGCCGGTGATGGATCTGAGTCTGGAGGGCTGATTTGCTGACTCCTCTCAGTCCCTGATGCCACTCACGTCCATGAAGCCTCTTGCATGGATGAGCACTGGGCTTGAGGTGATGTGGATTCCAAGACGAAAGGAAAGGAGCGCACAGCCCCTTTGCGTCAGAGGCAGAGAGCAGACTCACTGCAGTCGCTCTGGGAGGTGCTGGTGGGTAAGTCCAGGTGTTAGAGGACGCAGAGGAGGGGCGGCCAGCACATTCTCGGGGGGTTCTCCGCAGAGTCTTGAAGGTCAAGTGGAAGCTAGGCAGAGGCTGTGGCAAATGCAAAGCCCCTGAGTGTTAACAGATCAAGGTAGGAGTCGCTCAGTCTGTCTGGTGCACAGAGTGCAGTGGGGAGTGGTGAGAGGTGGAACTGAGGGAGGGGTGGGCGTCAGCAAAGCATGAAGGAACCGGTCCTCCAGACCTGCAGTGCCGATCATGTGCTGACACTTGCTGTGGTCATGTTTCGCAGACCATCGACAAGTGCGCCGTGATCTGGGTGATCAGTGACGTAGAGAGAGTTTCTGGGGGAAGAGCCCACGAAGACCTTCTACGTGAGAGCATCAGAGCCTGCCAGCGAGGCTTCTGCAGGGATGTGGCCCTGGTGATCACCAAGACTGACAAACTCCACTTGCCGGAATACCTGAGGTATCATGCTGGGCTCGCCGTGATGGGGGCCTAGCCAGGGGCTTTCCTCCACAGGCCCTGACTTACAGAAGTGGCAGAGCTTGACTGCATGACCCAGGGGGCATCTTGGGCTTCAGGAAGCAACTGCTGGGGGTGAACGAAAAGACTGGGTGACTTCCTGGGACATCAGGACCTCTGGGTATGTTGTCTCGGGAATCTGAACATTCCAGGGTAGCTGCTTAGCTGCAAACCAGCTGTCCTCCACACGGCTCAAGGGGCACCGCTCGCCTGTCTCAGGTGCAGAGAGCACCTCCCAGCCTGTGCGATATAGTGGTCCCACCCGTCCACATAGGTGTGGAAAGTTTGCATGCCCCCACAGCTAGGGGTTCAGTGTATAATACTATCTGGCAGGGTACAGCTTTGAAGTGTCAGATTCAGTTTCAGATTTGCGCTCTCCTAAAATTTTCACTTCATTTGGAGTGGGTCCTCAAAGTTTGAGAACTTCAGTCAAAAGTAGAAGCATTCTCTTAGACTCATATTCTCACAAATAATAATGAAAAGTAAGCACTTTAGAGCTTAATAGATGCTGATTCCTATTCGCTTCCCCTATAACCAGGAAGACTGTAACTCATCTTCCATATTGGGGCACTCTTGAGAGTGAGGGGGGTGTCATTAGACCTTAAAGAGGCTCATTGGATAGAAACTGAGCTGTCCTGGGTACACAGGGCATATGGTCACGGGACATGACACCATTGATGCTTCTCGGCTCTAACAAGAACTCCTTCACCTGTCCCCTCCTCCGTTTCCCCCATGCCCCCTGAAACTTAAGTCTGACTGCTGTCTTCAGGAATTAACTTGCTCTTAAGGTCTAGGTAGGAGTTTTTGCTTCATTTTTTTCCACTGCAGTTTCTCCCCATTGTACCCCTACCAGAGAATAGTATCTCAAGCTTATCTTTTCCAAGGCCAGCACTAAGACTAGACATAATAAAATCTGATTTAGTAAGCGTTAAGTGAATACTGTGGTTCTAGAAAATGCTGCCATTCAGAAGCATGTTGTCTCTGAGCTGACTATCCAGAAGAGCGTTAAAGGTTATATGTGAGGGACAAGCAAAGTGCTGTAGGAACCCAGGGTAAGAGGGCTGCATTTTTGACTGGGACAGGGTTGAGAGGTCATTTTGTAGTTAACAAAACACTGGCTTAACACTGACAAATAAAGCTGCTTTTTTCAGCTGGATGCCGGAGGTGGATCAGAGGAGAGTGCATGGGGTGAAAGCAAGAGCTTAGGCAAAGGCACCGAGACCTGGTAGTGTGTGCTGCTTTTAGGGAAAGTCAAAAGACTGGGGACTGTAATACAAGCTAAGTAACTGTTACATTTTTCCAATTTCATTTCAGGGAAAGAAAGGTGGGAAATGTGAGTATGAACTGGTTATTTTTAAATAATACTTTCATGATTAATATTACAATTGATCCTCGAACAACTTGGAGTTTAGGGATGCCAACTCCCTCACTCAGTTAAAAATCCATGAATTACTTTTGATACCCAAAAAACTTAACTGAGTGTTAACGGCTAAGAGCCAACTGTTGACTGGAGGCCTTTCCGGTTACATAGTTGATGAACACATGGGTTTGCGTGTTATATGTATTGCACGCTACATTCTGTATGTATATTTGACTGTCTGGGCCAAATGAAGATCTGCCCAAAATATGTGTGTCCCATCACCTCATCAGCATTATAACTCTGGACTCTGTGCATGTTTTCATTTCTTTCACAATCCAGAAAGCTATTCAAAGTCAGCGAGAGGCTGTTTTAGAAAGAAATGAAATGATAAAACTACAAAGGAATAGAATTCTCAAGGAAAAACTGAAGGTGAGTTAACAGGTTTCCCTGTGTATCTTTCTGCTTCTCAGCCACTGGATTTTGATCTAGTAGTAGCAAGGGCAAAGGTTTTGGAGTAGATCATTGCAGCTTGACCCAGTCCTACTGCTTAATTCCTTTGTGACCTTAGACAAGCTACATCACCGCTCTGAGCCTCCATTTTCTCATTTAGACATTGGGGAGATCATAATATCTACCTCCTGTGATTGTTGGGAGGATTGGATGAGCATGTGGTCTCCTGAGAAGCATGTCTGGGCGAATCCAGGGGGAGGTGTGCCCCAATGGAGGAATCACGGGGTGCGATGGTTTTAAAGGGGAAAGATGCCCCGATCACACTGGCAGTTGGACAGGCGGTACTGGAGAGAGGTTCAGAGAGACTTGGCCTCTGAGCAGAATTTTAGGAAGCCAGTAGTCCTTAGTAAGGGGAAGAAGTAGAGGCAGGAGCATTCGAGGTGGAGGAAAGAACGCAGTTGAAATAGGCTGGCTTGTTTGGTGAATGGTCTGCAAGTTGTTTTGAAGGACTCAGAAAAGGGGGGTGTGGGAGGGCTGGCAGGAAGAGAAGGCCCGAGCTGCGTTTTTCAACCTTGAGCATCATCCTGTGGGACTCAATGTTTTCTTAAATTATTTTTGCAGTTGGTCACCAAAATAGATACACACTTAAAGCTCCTTACTATAATTGTCTTCTACAACTATAAAACTCAAACCAATTTTAAGATAAAATATAAACAAAACAACATAAGGGGCATATCAGAGTAAGTATAATGTGATAGATGACAGTTTTGCTGAAACTAAATCTTCAGTATGGTTCGATTGTAAAAACACTTGGCCTATGTCCAGTTCTATATTCAATTGCTTTCTGTGTTTTGACTTCAATAATACTGATACAGCAAATGTCTATTGTACAACATGGAATTGAACATTTTGAAGCTTTTGTTTTTAGTTCAGTATAATTAAGCCTCATATTTAAGAAGTGTTCACCGAGCAATTTTTGAATGCCAGTGCTAATGAGGCAAAACCCAGTAAAGCAGGTCTTTCTCTCTTGAATTATTCTTGTTGGCATTAAATAAACATGCACTTTGAGTACCTAATCATATAATTCCCGGAACTGGAAACACAGAATACTTCAATACATAATTCACAACTACGTTTATTGCTAATAAAAGTGCCAAATGGGTTTGTATGAGAGAGAGTCTGGGCAATAACACACCAGCTTGCAGGGTTACCACAGTTCTTACTTCAAGTTCTTTTGAGGCCTCCAACCATCACCTCCAATTGGTCGGTGATACCTTAATTCTCCAACCACGTGACTTCACTTTGAATTTTTGTGAAAACTTCACTTGTGCTACATGCCACCGTTTGAAGCAAATTTAACTTGAATCCTAGAAAACATAAGGCAGAAATGGATTATAAGGTAGTCATCCCTATAGCTGTGGGTCTGTGACTATTTTTTTTAATTATAAAGATGAAAAGGTATCATAAGAAAAATGACATACAGTCCTCTGGGATGATGCTTCTAATTCTCAGTTTGTAAATACTGTGCATCTTGGCAAGACTGTTTTCTCAGCAGTAGGGGGAGTGGATGGTGGGGATGAGGCTAGTGAGGTCAGGATGTAGAGAGACCAGTCAGGAGGCTTTTGCTGGAATCTGGGTGGGCAGGGAGAAGAGCCCGAACTGGGCCTGGTAAGAAAAGAAAGGAGGCGATGTCCTGGAGCAACATTAGGAAGGCCCAGTCCTCAGCTTTATCCATGGGAGGTAACAGAGAGAGAACTTGGGGTGACTGCTGGGTTTTCTAGCTTGAAGCAACTCAGGGGATGGGGGTGACATTCATAAAAATGAAATTCAGGAGGAGCAGGGGCTTTTGGGAGGTCAAAATGAAAATAAATGAATGAACATACTGAGTTTAATGACTTAGGGGATGTCCTGTAGCTAACTGGCTTTATGGTAGGGACCACTGCAAAAAGGCTGATTACAGGTAAAGATTTGAGAACCATGGGCATAGCTTGGGCTGTCCAAAGATAGTCAATGGAGGAAGGTGGGTGGAAGGTTAACCTTGGAACTTTCCAGTGTTTCTAGCAGAGACATTATTGACATTTTGAGAGGAGTATTATGTAGAACTCTCCTCTGAGTTCTGTAGGATAGTCCATGCCACCCCCTCTACTTTCCAAATGTCAGAAATGTTCCCCAGTTACTGTGACAACCAAGAATGCCCTCAAACCAAATGCCCCCAGTTGAGACTTCTGGATTAAATTATTGGGTAAGAGTACTTTTGGCTGCAAGTAACAGCAACAAGAACAATACAATAGTGTCTGACACTAATGGGTTTCTCAGGCTAACGTAATAAGAAATCGGGAAGGAGCAATCCAGGGCTGGGGCTGTTCTGGCATCATTGGTGTGCTGCTTTTCTCTTCCTGCCTGGCATCCTAGCATCACCAAATGGCTGCTGCACCCCAGGCCCCATGTCCACTGACCAGGCAGGAAGAAAGGGCTGGAGAGGAGGATGAATGGTGGTTCACCAGCCAGATCTGTTCTTTTTCATATCAGGAAAACAAAACTTTTCCAACTTATTGCCAGGACTACGTCCTGGTGGGAGGGCAGCATTGGAGAAGGGGATGTGACTGGGGATGGGTCACTCAGTTGAGAGCCTCAGCCACACCACCAGATGCCATTTCAATAACGTTTCAAAGCTTTTGTTTTCATCAAAATTTCAAATGTTGTAATTTCCATATTTAGGAGGAAAACTAAGGAAAGGAATCCCCTTGAGAAAGTTGGACAAGGAACTAGGAAGGCCCTGGGAAATGGTGAATGATGTCAGAGAAGGTGAGGAGAAAAGAGTCAGGAAGAGGGAGCAGTCAGCAATTTCAAAGCTGCAGAGAAGTCTTCTGAGAACTGAAACGCCTGTTGCTTCTAAGTGAGGCCTTCCCTTGTGAACACCCTTCATCACAAGGGCTGGATTTGAAGCTGGATTGAAGTGGGGAGTGCCAACTCCTTGTTCACTGTGCCGGGCTGCAGGGAGAAGTGGAGATGGAAGGATGGCCACACGTATACACAGCGTTCTACACACATCTTCCCTCCTGCCCTTAGAAGTGGCACTTCTGTCTAGTGCTGGATGGAAGGAGTGGAAAGGGTACTTCCTAGAGATGTCTGTGCATCTCATCCTTTCTCCCCATGTCTTAGTCTGTTCACGCTGCTATAACAAAAGTGCCATAGACTGGGTGACGTATAAACAACAGACATTTATTTCTTGCAGTTCTGGAGGCTGGGAAATCCAAGATCAAGCCACTGGTAGCTTGAATGTCTGGCAAAGACCCACTTCATAAAGGAACAGTTGTCGTCTCACTGCGTCCTTACATGGTGGAAGGGGTGAAGGGTTTCTCTTAGGCCTCTTTTGTAAGAGCATTAATTTTATTCATGAGGGCTCCACCTTTGTGACTTAATCCCCTCCCAAAGACTCCCATCTCCTGATACCCTCACCTTGAGGTGTGAGGATTTCAACATATGAATGGAGGGAGGGTGCAGAAACATTCTGTTCATAGTACCTCAAATTATTTGTTTTGTTTTATCAGGAAAGGTGGTTTTCTTGATAAAAATTGGAGTGAGGAAATTATTTTAGCAGGAAAAAAATTCGCATTTTTTAAAAGGAGAAATGGTGCAAACCCCCTTGTGTCCCCTCATACTGTGGGAGCTTTTCTGTCCTCTCAATAAATCCTGCCTTTTTAAAAAAAAAAAAAAGAGGAGAAATGATAGGGTTTAACATCTGTTTTTGACAGATAAACGTAAGACAGCCTTCCCCCCATAGCAGACCTCTGGAATTTTTCAGAGAGAATCCCCATCAACTTTGGAATTCTGAATTTTCAGATACTGAGGGCAGTCTTTGCGATGACACTTGTTAATGTGCGTGTCAAGAAGAAATACAGAGGCCAGTGCAGATGGCCTTGCAGGGGAAGCCACTGTCCTCTGCCCTTCCCTGAATTATTGCAGATCTGAAAGGGTCCTGTGTGAGTGCAGCCTATGGTACAGGAGCCTATGGGCATAATTTGCTGTGGGGTAAACACCACGATAGGGAGAGAGAAGGAACACCTTCCTTTTAGCTGAGCATTTCAGATACCATTGCCACATGAGGCTCTTCTTCTAACTGCTCCCACAGTATAAGCAAATGGGTCATTTTCTGGTTCATTCAGCTTGTTTTTTTTTACCATGAAAAGAACTGATTGCTGTGCATAAATGAAGCTTTGTCTGATTGAAATAATTTTCATTTAAACTGTCAAAATAACCAGGAGCCTTTAAGTTCAGCTTATAAATCTTATTTTATTTACAAACCTAATAATTATGCACCAACTGTTTTTCCTTGATTAATCCTCAATTAGCATATGGAATCGACAGCTTCAATTTCTGTATAAAATTACACCATCTTTAAACCTTAAATTTCTGTACACACTTAAAACTATAATCACGAACTTTAGCACTTAAAATACCTGCAAAAATAGATGCAATCTACACACATTGTGTTTGCAAACCATTCTCTAAACTCAGTAGAGAGTAACTTATAAAATGGGTTTGATTCATTTCATTATCACCTTTATACTTATTTTTATACCTTCTCGGGTTGTAAGGTCCCCTACCGTCTTGGGAAGCAGGATTTTAATGTTTCAAAAAAAATCTAAGACATCATCAATTTTAAGGTACATCACTGTTTTATACCTCTTTAAAAAAAATGCTGCCAATTAAACTATTACATGGTGCTTTCTTATTACTTAGAATTTTAAATTTTTTTTTTTTTTGAGTTGGAGTCTCACTCTGTCACCCAGACAGGAGTGCAGTGGCCGCTCCCGGCCACCGCAGCCTTGCCTGCTGGGCTCCGGCGATCCTTCCGCCTCAGCCTTCCGAGTAACTGGAATTACAGGCGCACGCTACCACGACCGGCTAATTTTTTGATTTATTGTAGAGATGAGGTCTCGCCAAGTTGCCCAGGAGGGTCTCGAACCCGCGGGCTCAGGCAATCCACTCACCTCAGCCTCCCAAAGGCGCGGGATTACAGGCTGAGCCACCGAGCCCAGCTAGAATTTTAAATTTTATGTTATCAAAAGATACGTATCAGATGTCTTTACCATGTATTTTGTGTGTGAGTGTGTGTCGAGATCTTACTCTGTCACCCAGGCTGGAGTGCAGTGGCATGATCATGGCTTCACCGCAGCCTCGACCTCTTGGGCTCAAGCTGTCTTCCTGCTTCAGCCTCCCCAGTTACTGGGACTACAAGCACGTGCTACCGTGCCCAGCTAATTTTTTTATTTTTTGTAGAGACAAGATCTTGCTATGTTGCCTAGACTGGTTTTGAACTCCTGGGTTCAAGCACTCCTCATGCCTCCCAAAGTGATGGGATTACAGGCATGAGCCACTATCCCTGGCCTAACATGGATTTTTTTTTTTTTTTTTGATTTGGCAGTCTCACTCTGTCACCCAGGCTGGAGTGCAGTCGCACACTCACAGCCACCCCAGCATCGACCTGCTGGGTGCCTCAGCCTTCCATGTAACCAGAACTACAGGCACGTGCTACCATGCCTGGTTAATTGTTTTATTTATTTATTGTAGAGACGAGGTCTTGCCAAGTTGCCTGGGCTGGTCTCAAACCTGCAGGCTCAGACAATCCACTCGCCTTGGTCTCCCAAAGTGCTGGGATTACAGGCTGACTAACATGGATTTTTAAATTCATATATACTCTTATGTCTCAGAAAATAATGAAACTATAAGTAGGATATATTGGCTAAGGAATTTCTACAACTGTTTTTCATTGAGTCCAACTCATCTACATCATATTTTGAGAGTCTTCAATTCTTTTCTCCCAGTTTCATCATCTATACCAGTAAGAGTACAAGGATGCAGCATTACTTAAAGTGTTCCATTGTTGTCTCTAGGATTTCCTTCCAAGTCACTGACACCCTTTCTGCAAGTTTTGACCTCAGCACTTTTTTTTCTGGGTGTGTGGCAATCACTTTGTACATATCTCAGTATCAAAACATAACCTAGCTTTACATGTGAGTGTGTCCTTTTGCTGGGTTCCACCTAGCACTTAGGTGTTGCTTTGCAAGAAAACCTGGAATTATTATCTAGTCCACCAACCATAAGCATTTTTTTCACTGATATCAAATGTATGCCCCACTGTTCTATTTCCAGAACTCTCAGTGTCAGCAAAAAAAATTTTTTTCAACTCCAAATCATAACATAGTCTTTTTTAAGACTTTTTTTTTTTTTTTTTTTTTTTTTTTTTTTTTAGTTGGAGTCTCACTCTGTCCCCCAAACTGGAGTGCAGTGGCTGCTCCTGGCCACCGCAGCCTCAACCTGCTGGGCTCCGGCAATCCTTCCGCCTCAGTCTTCCAAGTTGCTGGAACTACAGGTGCGCGCTACCACGCCCGGCTGATTTTTTGATTTATTGTAGAGATGAGGTCTCGCTGCCCAGGCGGGTCTCGAACCCACGGGCTCAGGCAATCCACTCACCTCAGCCTCCCAAAGGCGCGGGATTACAGACTGAGCCACCGAGCCCGGCTTTTTTTAAGACATTTTAAATGGCAATTAAAGAGAGCAGTTTCAACAACGCACAGAACTTATTAGCAACGCGAACAGCTGTGACCAAGTCCACCCATGTGTAGTGTATTAGTCTCCTTGGGCTGCTGTAACAAAGCAATACAACCTGGGTGTCAACAGAAAATTGCTATCTCACAGTTCTGGAAGCTGGAAGTTCAACATTAAGGTGTCAGCAGTGCCATGCTCCCTCTGGAGGCACTAGGGGAGAGTCTGCTCCAGGGCTTTCTCTGGCTTCTGGTAGATCCTTGGCTTGTGGCAGCATAGCTCCAGTCTTCACATGGGGTTCTCCCTGTGTACATGTCTCTGTTCAATTTTTCTCTTTTTATGAGGACATCAGTCATATTGGATTAAGGATCCACCCTACTTTAGTATGACTTTATCTGAACTTAATTTCTGTGTGTGTGTGTGTGTGAGAGAGAGAGAGAGAGAAAGCAGGATTTACTGAGAGGACAGAAAAGCTCACACAATGGGAGGGGACCCAAGGGAGTTGCCTAAACTTAATTAATTTCACCTGCAGGACTTAATGTCCAAAGAAGGTCACATTCTGAGGTAATAGGGATTAGGACCTCAGGATATATATATATATATGGATACAATTCAGCCCATAACACACAGGCAGTGACAACCACCTTGTGACTGCCACCTGGCCTACAGCAGTTGTAAGATGCATCTCAATCTCAGAAATATTAAATGGTAGAAAAGAAGTGTATCTTAGTATTTATAAACTATGGTAGCTTGTCAGCTGAAATCACATGGTTGAAGATTGAGGATTACAATATGGCTGTGCATTTGTGTTATCAGCTCGAGATCCAGGACTAGACACAGGCACATAGGTCCTTCCAGGATGCAGTGACTTGGGCTGGGCCCCATCTGATGGTAACATGTTGCTTATTCCATGTCTTTTCTTATTGTCTGGTATGTTATGCTTCACTTGAGCCTCCCTTGAGCTTTGTCTTGACTCATTTTTTAACTATACGTCCCACACAACATTTTATTGCAACCTAACTCACAAAGTTTTACTGCCTTTTTTGACCTGATGGGATTTTGTACCCCCACCAAGATTGTTACCACTCTTACAAAATTCTCTTAGGACCTGCACAAATGGGATTTAGTGGCTGGGTTTTGACATTCTCAGGCCCGTCATTTGAGCTGGTTGATGCCTTTGCTTTAACATGCCTTATTCACTGGGTTGTAGGATCATAATGAACTCTTCATCTCACAGAATTGTTGTGCTCTTTTTGCTGTTCACGGTGTCATATCTTGGCCACTGGGGGAGCTCTTTAAGATGACTTCCTTTAGCATTACCGGGACACTTTAAGAAACATTCTTGTTGTCAAACAACAGCAAGATATTCAGGTCCACTTTATTTTTCCCCGCCCCAAGACACAGACCAACTACTCTCCAAGAAACATGGGTTTCTTTTAGTAGAAGATAATAGTAGAAGTAAAAGTTGAGATGATAGGAGTACATATCAAATTATTTCATACAAGTAAGGCAGTGGCAGGGTGATATCAGTGCAAAATAATTTTGGTGACAAAACTAGAAAAGGTAGATTTTTTAAAATGATGTCGTGGTTTATATTACTGATTTCAATCTAAACCCAACTTCACTATGTCCTTTTCGACTTTGCTTCTAGTATCCCTTTTATTTTGAGCTCTGGGTTTTCCCTTCTTTCGGGTACAGGATCTTCTTACAAACTTTAATATATTGTGCTATACACTGTCATGATAAACCATGTGTTTAAATTAGAACAGGGTCTAATCTTCCCATAGCATAATTTGATAAGTGTCTACTAACCCCTTGGACCCTAGCCTCCACCTGTAACTGTTTCTACTTCTCTTTTACAATAACATGAGACCTTCATACTGTAGCCACTTCATTGATACTACAAAAATATTGTACTATAATAATAAGAATAAAGGTTAACTGATCTTCAATCATTTTTAGAAAAGTTGTACAAAATTTAGAGAAAGATTTCAAATAACGTGAACACCTAGACACAGCTAGGTACACTCCTTTTTTGTCACTGTTTTAAAATCCTACTTCAATTTAATTCCACATTAGTTTTATCTCCCAGTAGAAGTTAGCTTCAACTTTCCCTAAGCTTTTTCCTAGAGCCAAAGCTCTATCAGAGGCAAATAATCTCAGTAGATCCTTTATACAACTTTAGCTTGACTCTATAGTATGGCGGGGTGGGGGGTGGGGGCTTCTGTCAGTCTTCACAGGCATCTCTTTTCCAGCCTTAACTGCGTGTGCTTACAACTTGCCCGAGATATGTCTTCTCATCAATCCCTGTAAACTACGGGTCCTCCACCCACTCAGCAATTTTGCATCAGAAAGAGACTGACACTTCCCCACTGTGTCATGCACATGCACTCTCTGTATGTGTGTGTGTTTTCTCTCTTAAGTGAGAAAAATGGAAGATGGGAAATATTTACATACAATTCTAATATGACTTCTCAGTGATGATGTTTCTTCTAATCATAAAAAAGACTTTCTCACATAATTCTTAATTCCCTGATATTTAAAACCAGCATTTGTTTAAGCATTACTCTGCATTAAATTGTATATGATTATTTACCAAGTAAGCCAGCTAAGAAACTTTCACTTTTATAGGAACTTTTGCCCAATGCTGTATTGTGCTGGTAAATGTTTAACGACCAGCTTTTTATTTGACTTTTTTAAACTGACAAACCAAAACCAAAACACTGATGTGTACCATTTGCCGGTTCCCGTGATGTAAATAAATACTCCCACCATCGCCAATTTCAGACTACTAGCGTGATGTCTCTGAATACAGTGTAGGGAAGTGACTGGTACAAGCTGGCTGCAGCGCACTGCTGCCTCTTCCAGAGCCGTGCTTTCTCTTCCAAAAAGGATCTAGCTGCTTTCTCCCTCTGAACATTTAAATACACTTTTGAACTATTTTCTCCTAGAATGTATATGTTTAACTCCCGAGAGAATCGTTTCCGTGCAACAGTTTCCTCCCAGCTTCTGACCTTACTAGGAGAGGACAGATGGCAACACCAGACATTTAGAACATTGCCTCTTCCTTATGGGACTCTTGGAGAACTGAAAGAGAGCTGGACAGCCGAAATTTGCCGAAGGCTCTTGTGAGCCTTTGCCATGGCTGAGTTACTCTGTTTCCTGTGTGCCTCTCTCACTTCAGAGAAAACTGCCGACTGACTTCAAGGTTCTGGAAGCCTCAGATCTGGTGTACACAGTCAGCGCCCAGGAGTACTGGCAGCAGGCCCTCCTCACTGAAGAGGAGACTGGTAATTTATGCTTTTTACCTTAATCACTGGACTTCTCAAGATTAAGTGTGGCACGCAACATTTCCTGCTCTAGAACTTTCTGTGCCACACAAAAATTTTTTCCTGGCTTACCACAATTCCTCTCTCCTCCAAATCTTACCGTGGGTTGGTAAAGGTCAAGTGATTGGGTTGTCATTGCCTCAGTATTTGGCTTGAGAGTTCTCTCCTACCCAGTTGTGGGTATCGGAATTGTTTTCTGAGTGTCTAACATAGGCTTTGTCTGTGAGGCAGAGAAAGTGGAAGCCATGACCTCTTTCTTAACAGAATTTAAAATCTAGACGAGGAGCTAGTACTAACTGAAGTGAAAATATTAAAGTAAAAATAAGGCTTCGTTAGATGGTGCTGGCTGTGAGTACAGGAGGCCAGGAAGCGAGAGCTCTGTGTGTGCTGGAGAACTCATGGACACTGGGTGAACAGGCAGGTTCAGGGCTAGCTTTCATCTGAGCTCAGCATGGCTTACAACAGGCACACATTTTACTAGATGTGAATCGAGGTCAAGGAGCAGAGATGCAAAGTGTCCCCAGAAATGGAGCATGGACTTGACCAACCAAAGATACGATTAGGCTGGGCACAGTGGCTCGCACCTGTAATCCCAGCACTTTGGGAGGCAGAGGCAGGAGGAGTGCCTGAGCCCAGGGGTTTGAGACTAGCCTGGGAAACTTGGCGAGACCTCGTCTCTACAATAAAAATAAAAAAATTAGCCGGGCATGGTTGTGCATGCCTGTAGTTCCAGCTACTTGAGAGGCTGGGGCGGAAGGATCCTCTGAGCCCAGCAGATCGAGGCAGTGATAGCCCTGAGCATCCTGCTGCACTCTAGCCTAGGTGACAGCGAGACTTTCACTTAAAAAACAAACAAACAAAATACAAAATTAGCATGTTATATGGAAGAAATGATATAGAAAAATTGCCATCTATAGGAGTATTGGGGAAAGGATAGAGTGGCAGCTATTATCTTCTGACTGACAGAGAGATAGGATGAAGGTGTGTTTCTGATGTAGAGTCCCACACTTCAGAGGTTCCTATTCATTTCTAAAGCAAGCATGGGCTACTCTGGTATTAAAGGTTAGTTGACAGAAAAATCTGAAGGGACTGGAGAGCTGAGACTGTAGAAGCGTGAGTACTTTCAGTTCAGTTGTGGGCAAGTACTTGTCCACAGGGCCCATGTTTTCAACCAGCCTGTACTTCTCTATGTAGTTTGTTTTTTACAGCTAAAGAAAATTAACATTCAGCATTACTGATCTACCATTTATTGTTGTTGATTCTAGACACGGAATAAGTGTTTTTCAGAAAGGTTGGTTTTGTAGGCAGCCAGCCAATGTAGGACCTCAACTCTAGTTCATTCAGACCGCCGTCCTGATCTTTTCACTTTCATGAATTCTGTTGGCTTCAAACTTCTGAGCTTTTAAAATTGTTTGTGCTGCCTGTGAATTCCAGAAATCCCCAAGTTAAGAGAATACATCAGGAGAAGACTCTTGGACAAGAAGAGGAGGATGGTGACCAAGTATGTGACTGAAGCCTTTGGCTTGTTGGTCCTCACAGACAGTTTCAACTCCACGCAAAACATGTCGGTATGGAAGATGCTGGACTTACGTATTCTCTCTGTTCCAGGGCAGGGCATTTCCTTTTACTGAGTTAGAATATTAACTTATGATGTTTTTTTTCTTTTCCCATGAAAGGAAGATAGGAAGCTCAGAGAGTCTTCAAGACTAAAAAGATGATCAGAGGGTTAAAATCATAACATTGGGGGAAAAGAGAAAAGAATAATATTTTACCTGGGACAGATGGGCTGAGAAGAAAATGTAAAAATAGTCAGTAGCTATTTTCCATCTCTCCTGAGACTTGAATGAGATGGAATGTGTTTAAACAATGGCAGCAATGATTTGGCTTGCTTCTAGTAGATAACAGACACTTCTTGGTTATCCCGGAGAGGCATGTTTATGTGTACAATCCAAAAATGTTTCATCGGTCTCTGGTGTTCCTTCATGGCCTGATGCTGTCAGAATCTCAAACCCAGAGCAGTATAGTAAAATAATGTGAGAAGAAGGAAACTTGGAGGGAATTTCAGAAGGGTTTAGATATTTATCTTCACTGTCAAAAATGCAGGCCTTCTGTATGACCAGTTAAAAATTACTTTTCTCATATTAATGGACAAATTTATCTCTTCGATGGATGATTTTTTTAACCCTCAAATAAGAAGGATAAGCTGCTATATTAGAGGTCTAGGAGACTTTTGGAGAAAAACCTGTTTCTGTCATCGGTCACCAGCTGTATTGTTTCTTTGCGAGAGGCTGACTATACAAAAGACAATGGTTGGACCACAATAAAAATAGAACTCTGATCCACAACCTGCAACAACCTGCCCAGGATCCAGTCCCTTTTCTACAGTAAACAGTCCAGGAAGCCAGTCTTCCATCTGTATGTCAGACTTACAGGAAGTCAGACTGCTATCTCTAGTAACAATCCAGGGGGCTAAACAATAACTTCTGTAACAATTGGTCCCAAATGGCCAGGACTTGATTAATGACTTCCCTAATCTTTGTCCTTACTTCCAATTTCTGACCAACCAGGGAAAGCCAAATGTGTATCCCTAACCAACAGGCTGCCCTGTTTTTAGTTAGCCCACCTATCTTCTCCCTGCTACAACCTCCAATCAGGGCACACCTGAAACCTCCCCTTTCTTCCACTGTAAACATGTCCCCTTTCTCTGCCTGCTTCTGAGTCTCTACCAAACTGAAGTGACGGCGACTGACTCCCTTCTAGTGAGCTCTGAATAATGGTCTCTGCCTGTTCTGGTTGGGCTTCACTTATTTCCACACTTCCCTTTACCTGTCAGATTTGCACAGTCAAGCTGTCTGACTTCTTGTTATGTCAGAACAGGGAAGGAACAGAGGAAGCGTACCAGTAGGGCTCTATGAGCAGTCAAGGAACTGGTCCCAAGAGAAGGGAAAGCAGGCCTGGGATGAGCCTGCAGGGTGGCAAGGAGAGGCAGATCCTCAAGGCCTGACTTCCACGTGAGAGGAAGCAATGCCCACCGGAGTCTTCGGTTGTGGTCGAATGCCCACAGTTGATCACACTGTATAAAAGGGGCCTATCGAACAAAATTCGCTGTCTTTCTCATCATATTTCTCATGCCTTCTTTTGGTCTAGTTGTATGAGACAAAAACAAAGCAAAGCTCCAGGAATCTGAGATTTTCTAATTTTACTTTTGTCCTTTGAAATAGCTGGGAAAGGGTTTGACCTTCAACTTCCCGAAAACGTTCTTCGGAGTGAAATTTGTCTCTCTGCCCAGCACAAGATTGCTTTTGGAAGTGCCAATGGAAAACCAATCAAATGTGGTGCTGTGTGGTTGGTGTATTTTGCAAACATAAGGGCAAGGCATTTGGAAGTCAAGCCGGAAGTGCCCACCTCATGTGCTCTTTGCTGCCACAGAGGTGCAGTTCTCACAGGGCTCAGCCCCACCCTCAGAGCCAGACTCCAGGCCACGGAACATGCAGAGGAGGCAGGGGCTGATTGACACTTCTGTGATAGCCTTCGAAGGCAGCTTTCATCAAAATTCCTTGGCCTTAGATACTGGTTTTACTCTTAGTTCTTTGATGAAAAGTTGGAAGGCAAGAGTTTTGTCAGTTCCTTTGAATTATGAAAAATCAAGCCTAAATATGTGTGTGATTGATCATTTTTTTAAAGATTGTGACTCAAACTAAAAATTTAGAGTTTGGGTAGTTAGTGATTTTAAATGGAGTCTTTTTTTTTTTTAACAAATCAATAGGGCCTGGGCACAGTGGCTCAACCTGTAATCCCAGCACTTTGGGAGGCCGAGGCGAGTGGATCGCCTGAGCCCGCGGGTCGAGACCAGCCCAGGCAACTTGGCGAGACCTCGTCTCTACAATAAATAAAATATCAGCCAGGTGTGGTAGTGTGCACCTGTAGTTCTGGCTACTTGGAAGGCTGAGGTGGAAGGATCACTGGAGCCCAGCAGGTCAACACTAGGGTGGCCATCGCATGACACTGCACTCTAGCCTGGGCGACAAAGTGAAACTCCAACTCAAAAAAAAAAAAAAAAAGAATCAATAGGAAATTGATGATGACATCTCAATATCAAATGAATTCTGTATTTATTCACACTGAGTGCCAACTTTTCTCTCTCTTATGTTCTTTTATTCCCAGCTCTTTCCTTTTTTAGAAAAAAAATCATTTATTTGTTAATTCATTGGGATTCATTGAGAGTCAGACATTGTGAGAATCTTGCCTGTAGATCTCTTTCCACGACCTCTTTCTTATCTCATTTTGATCCCCAGAGACACCACACATTCAGAAGAGTCTGAAGGGCACTCTGGGGGGAAAGTGTGACTTGTAGAAGTCTCAATGGTGAAAACTAGGAAATTTCTCAGGGTGCATCTAAGTCTGAACAACCTCCATAAACTCCAAAGTTCATCAACTCTTAAGTTTCATGGAGTAGAGTTCAAGATTCTTTCAAGATCGTCCAACTCAATTCATTTACTTTAAAGATGATGCAATTGAGAACCAGAGAAGTTAAGTCACCTGTATAAGGTCTCACATCTACTTGAGAGCAAGTACTATTTGGAATAGGATTTAAAGGCCTATGCTATCCAGAATTTCTCTGTGCTACTCACTCAATCCACACATCTCTATAGGATTCGCCTGTGTGCCGTGCCCTGGAATAAACAGACATGAACAGTTTGTCCCTTCAGTGATATCCTAGTCCGGGGAAGGAGACATGTGGAAGGAAGGAGACATCCCACGGAAGGAAGAATACTATGGCATGGGAATTGCAAAATGAGATGGGAGCACAGGCCAGAGAACCCAGCTCTGCCTGGGGCGTGAGGGAAAGCCTCTCATGAGAAGTGACTTTTGAACTTTGTCTTGAAAGACAAGAAGGTGGGACTAGCATGTGCAAAGGCACAAGGGTCTCAGAAGCGATGGCATGTTTGGGGAATGGTAGCAAGGTCAGGGGCAGTTAGCTGGGGGACATTTTGGGCAAACAGAGAGATGGTGCAAGGCTAGTAGTGTCCTGACTGTGAAGGGCCTTAAGTGCCAAGCCAGGGAGTGTGGCTTCCATCTGCCACGGGCTGCAGAGACCACCAAGGTTCCCATGCAGGAAACAACACTGTGAGTTTTCCAGTTTGGAACCTGGAGGTCAAGGCTGTCCCCGGCGGCCACGTCCTTGTAATATCTGAATATATGTTTTCCCTCCCTGACTAGACTGTATTATTCTTTGAAGAAGAAATCATGGTTCTAATTTTGAGCTCCTGTAGCTTTGCTATTCAAAGTGTGGTCCAGAGCCTGGAAGACCAGCATCACCTGGGGACTGGCTAGAAATGTAGAATTCCAGGCCCTCAGATTTTAAAATCTTCCAGTGATTTGTATGCACACCAAAACTAGAGAAGCACTGTTCTCAAAAACTGCTTTGTGCAGAGTCAAGGCTCGTGAAATGTTTGTTGAATCAGATGTCACTGGAAAAATCTATTGAATAACAACCAGATTTTTAGGAGAATAGTTACTTCCCCCAATAGCCTGATGGATTCTACATCCGAAATACATTGTAGCAGGCAGATATTTGTTCTACTCTCCAACCCCCCAAAATCCTAGAAGGTCTGGGCACTGAGGGAGGCCTTATGAGGAAAATTAAGAGAAGTCAGGGGCAACCCCCTCAGGTCTCCTCCCACTGTGGGAGTTTTTCTGTCCTCTCAATAAATCCTGCTTTCTCAAAAAAAAAAAAAAGAGAGAGAGAGAGAGAAGTCAGGTCTAGGTGAGCATCTCAAGGTAGATCTTGGGTTGGTGACAAGCTTAAAGGAAGCAAAGTTTTAGGAGAAAGTGCCTGTGGGGAAGAGGTGGCCTGATGCTTCTGTGGCCCTTAACCTAGAACGAGCACTTGCGCTTGAGCAGCCTGCGGAGGTTCCTGGAAGAGGAGATGGAGCTCCTGGAGAAGGCGATTGCGCAGTGCTTCACCCACATCAAGCAGCCTCTGCAGGAAGGAGTTGGAGCCGCCAAGGCTTCCTACCGACGCATCCTCGGGGCCTGCCTCGTGGTGAGTGACACTTCCAGGGAAAACCTGGAAGTTTGGTGAGGGCTACCTGATCCCCCCAGCTCCTTTTCACCATCCTGTTGCTTTCAAAAGAAAGAGCTAGAAGAGAGTGGGAGAGAGTGGAAGTTGCACATAGGAAATCGTTCGACTGTGCATCTCAAGAACAAAGGAAGAGATGCAGTTCAGCAGGGATAGAGCTGAGATCTGGGTTCTGAGGGTACCTCCACCGAGCATCCACCTTGTAGCCTGAGCGGGGCCCTAAACTCATTAGGATTTTTTCTTCTGTAAAATGAAGTTGCCAAAAACTTGCCCTACCTATCTTGCGGCACTGGTGTCACTATCAGTTAGATTACACAATGAGAAGACACTTTATAATCTCTTACTTGGCATGCACATTGTGGTTTTATTTCTTAATTGTGTGGGGTTTCTGAGGGGTGAAAGTGTAAGTGCAAGACAGTGTTTATCTAAGACCAAGGAGTGAAAAATGAGACCCATCGTATCAGTCCTCTTGGGCTGTCATAAAGTAGTGCCACAGACTGGGTTGCTTACACAACACACAGCTATTTATTTTCCCGCAGTTCTAAAGTCTGAAAGTCCAAGATCAAGGTATCAGTGAGGTGATTTATTCCACGGCCTCTCTCCTTGACAAGCAAGTGGCTGCCTTTTCACTCTGTCCTCGTATGGCCTCCTCCCTGTGTGTGCACACTCCTGAGGTCTCTCTCTCATCCCATAGGTACTCCTGGCCTAATGGATCAAGGCCCCACCCTATGACCTCATTTATAACCTTACCATCCCCCTTTAATAATGGCCCGATCTCCAAATACAGTCACATTGGGGGCTAGGGCTTCCCACATGAGCTTTGTTGAGGGACATGCTTCAGTCCGTGGCGCCTACCCGCTAAGGGGAAAGGGGCTTGGACAACCCTGCTCACGTGGCAAGGATGACTTGGAGTCCCCAGTGCTGGGAGGAGTGCATGGATAGTGTATGGCGGTTGTTGTTTTCAACATGTGTGTTCCAGGGCCCGGAAGACCAGCATCACCTGGGGGCTGGATAGAAACGTAGAATCCCAGGCCCTCAGGTTTTAAGACCTTCCAGTGATTTGCATGCACACCAAAATTAGAGAAGCACGGTTCTCAAAAACTGCTTTGTGCAGCGTCAAGGCTCATAAAATGTTCGTTGAATCAGATGTCATTGGAAAGTTGGAATATGAGCAGTAGAAAATGTGTGGAAAGGGTGTATGATGAAACTCCTACCTTCTGGAGGCTTCTGTATGTGCATAGATGATACCAGCTTTCTAGCACATGGCCTCTTCTGGATGTTGTTATCTGCATGTTTTGTGTAAAACCTCGTTAAAATATCTATATGAGTAGGTATTTGTTCTGCGATTTGGCTGAAAGGAAAGCAGGAGATACCTCTAGCATAAGGCATCGAACACATAGCAAGAGAACAAGGGCTGAGAGAAGAGGTAATCTGGAGTGATTCTGGGTCACTAGGGAAGCTGTCAGTTTGTGGCACATGGTTGGGTAGGTGGCTGCATGTGGATACTACTCAGTCAGCAGACATGAGCGAAATGTGATTCTGATACCAGGTACTTTACATTACCTTATTCAGTCCTCACAGCAATTCTGCGTGGGCAACACCCTTTCTGTGGCTTTAGTTGTACAGCCTTAGAGAGGTCGATAACTTCTCTATGGCCACACAAGGACTCCACATCGAATGCAGGCCTGTCTCGCTTCAGAATCAGACACTCAGCCCCTGTACTTGCATGCTGCACCTCATAAACTGGATTCTGCAAACGATTGCAGCTACTTGTTGTTGCTGGCCAGTTACCAGTTTAACATTTGTAGATCCCCCCTAAAAGTAAATTTTGCTGCCCTCATTCCTTTCTTCATGTAAGAGGGGCTTCTGAAGACAAGAGTTGATTGCTAAGACGCAGCATATCCCATGGGGGAAAGACATGGGCTCTGGTTTGAATCCCAGTTTCCCATTTGCCAGCTGTGTGACCATGGACAAGTTTCTTAACCTTTTTGAGCCTTGGATCCTTTGTGTGTAAAATGAGGATGATGGTCCCTATATTGTAAAGATGAGTTGAGATAATGCATGTGGAGATACAGTGCTAGATGGACTGACATTCAGCACGTGGAGCGTGTCTAACAAAAGTCAACTGCTCTTACTATTCACTTTGGGGATAGGAGGATGGCCCAAACACATCCCTGCACCGAAGACTTGAAGAAGTATGCAGGGAACTATAATGAAAGGTAGCATGTTGGTGAGGGCCACCAGAGAGCCAAAAAGTCCTCTAAATGTTCAGAGGAGGGAGAGCATTCTGGTGGGGGCTGGGGCAGGCTGAAGTCAGAGTCCCCCCGTCAAGCCAGCCTAGAGCATCAGGAAGTGTATTGGCCCACGTGCCGAGAGCCAGAGGAGGAGAGGGCCTGGAGAACGAGCTGGACTCTGTGGCCCAGTGGGCCTCTTTCTCAGGCTGCCTCCCTCATGAAGGCAAAACGGCTGCAGCTGTCCCTGGGCTCACAGCTATGCACCACAGGCTCTGGGGGAGGTTTTGTCAACCTCAGCGTTCATGACAGTTGGGGCCAGATCGTTCTTTGTCGTGAGGGGCTGTCCTATGAATTTTAGGACGCTTAGTCCCTGGACTCTACCCCGTAGGTACTGGTGGCAACTCCTACTCTTCAGTTGTGGCAGAACCACCCCAGACTGAGAACCACTAGTCTAAGAAACAGAGAGGGGGGTCATTTCTGGATCTGATTTCATAAGCAAGAAGAAACTTCTTAGAAACCTGAGCAAACCTTCCTTGGTGATTCTTTTGGCTCCAAATGAATCCCATGCCTATTTTTAAACCAATCCCTGAAACCAGAGAATGCCTTATACCGAAGAGTGTGGGCCTATGTACATATCCCATTCTGGGATCAGGGATAGAGTTAGTTTCCTCCAGAACAAAAGACCTAGAGAGGACATAGCTGGAATTGTCAGGAGAATGGGGGATGATGTTAGAAAAAACCACAAAGCGTGTCAGAGGACAATCCAATTAGCCTTCTAGAGAGGGGACTATTGGAACCTGATCCTGGGGGATAGCGATACTTCCCTGGGCAGAGGAACGGAGGAGAAGGGCAAGCATCCAGGTGACAAGGGACAGAACATATTTGGGAGCCTGCTTAGAGTACACATAGCGGTTCTGGTTCTGGATGATAAGGCTGAAAAGCATCAGCGAGGGACAGGTTAAAGAGCTTGAATGTAGTAAAGTTTCAAGCAGGAGAAAGGCTTCATCAGAACTGTGCTTTGGGAAGCTTAATGCTTCAGGAAAGACTAGAAGCAGAGAGCCTGGCTAGGAGGCACTTGGGTCCGATGAGACGATAGGATGTGAACAAGGGTCAGAGCAGATGAAGCAGAGAAGACGAGATGGCTTGGAGAGCAAATGCGAAGGACACCTCCATCAGGATTGTTAGCAGTTCAAACAAGGTGGGTGTGGGAGAGAGAGGCGGTCACACTTCTAGGAAGATCTGTACCTGAGAGAAAGGAGATCTCATCAATTTAAAGAGGACGTAAGGAGATATGAGGGAGAGGAGTCTATCTCTGGTTTAGGGGGAGGCAACGTGTTCGGTATGGGAGCTAATGCATTTAGAGTTTAACGCAGTTGGAATATCTAGCAGGTTGGTAGGAAAGTGGAACTCGAGCCCCAGAGAGAGGTGCGGCTGGGAGTGTAGATTTGGCAGTCACTCATATGGGATTGGTAGGCAGACCTGTCGGAGTCAATGCTGTCGAAGCAGGAAGAGAGAGGACTGTGATATGGCATATCCTCATCAGAAGGCTACACTTGACGCTGGGCTCAGTGGCTCAGCCTGTCATCCCAGCACTTTGGGAGGCTGAGGCGAGTGCACTGCCTGAGTCCACGGGTTTGAGACCCGCCCAGGCAACTTGGTGAGACCTCGTCTCTACAATAAATAAAAAAAAAAATTAGCGCGCCTGTAGTTCTGGCTACTTGGAAGGCTGAGGCAGAAGGATCACCAGATGCTGGGGTGGTGATAAGTGTGCCACTGCACTCCAACCTGGGCGATAGAGCGAGACTCCAACTCAAAAAAAAAAAAAAAAAAAGGCCACGCTTAGGGAGCAGAAGAATAAAGAGGACCCAAGGGAGGGGTAGACAAGGACAAGCATGCAAGGAAGTAGAAGAAAATCGTGTAATGCCTATTTTCTTATTTTTTAATACTTATTTTCGGCATAATGCCTAATTTCTTATTTTTCAATAAGAAAACCAAAGTGGCTGGGCTCGGTGGCTCAGCCTGTAATCCCATGCTTTGGGAGGCCGAGGTAAGTGAGTTGCCTGATCCCGTGGGTTCGAGACCCACCCAGGCAACTTGGCAAGACCTCATCTCTACAATAAATCAAAATCTTAGCTGGGTGTGGTAGCACGCGCCTGTAGTTCCAGCTACTTGGAAGGCAGAGGCAGAAGGATCGCCGGAGCCCAGCAGGTCGAGGCTGTGGTGGCCGGGTGCGGCCACTGCACTCCAGTCTGGGTGACAGAGTGAGACTCCAACTCAAAAAAAAAAAGAAAACCAAAGCAAGAAAGCTTGTTAAGAAGGAGGCCATTAGATGCTCCTGAAAGGTCAAAAAAGTAGGATGAGCAAGGTCCCGGGATTGGGCCATTGAGGGTATTCACTGGGGTTGGGGCAGTGAGCCGCCAAAGAGGCCCCGTGGGTCTTCACCTCCATGGATCCGGGCCCTCATGGAGTCTCCCCCTACGCTGAATCAGGCCCGGTTTCTGGAGCCAGGAAATGTGGCAGAGGTGATGGCGTGTGGTTTCTGAGGCTGAGTCATAAGGGCCATGGAGGCATTCATGGTGGTCTCCTGGGTCACTTGCTCAGGGAGAGCCAGTCCGTACGTGCTGAAGCCAAGCTGCCGTGTGCGAAGGCCCGTGCAGAGAGCGGCTGAGGACTCCCACCTGAGGCCAGTGGCGAGCACCATCGTGCCAGCTGTGTGTCCTCAGTGGGAGATCCTCCTGCCCCACGTGGACAACTGCACTCCCGGCCACATCTGGCTGAGCTTCAGGAGAAACCAGAGCCAGAATGGCCAGCCAAGCCCTCCCATATTCCCACTCACAGAATCCTGAAGAGATTGTTGAAGTTCGCTGTTCGTTTTTATGCTACGACATCGCTGCTTTTGGTAATTTTGTATCGTAGCAATAGATAGCTAAGTGATCCTGGAGAGAACTGCTTCTATCCAATGATTGAAGAAAACAGATCCCAAAAAGTGAGTGAGTAGGTGGGTGCTGAGAAGATGACGGCACCAAGCTGAGACCCCCCCCCCTTGAGACAGTGTGCTGTGAAAGGAAGGGATGACACCAGCCACCTTCAGGCTTCCAGGACTACGCCCTCTCGTCAGCCCTTTAACGGCTTCTCCCTCTGGGACTACAAACACGCCCAAGGTGCTTCTATCTGGTAAACAACGTTCCTTTGAGATCAGAAATTTTGGCAGACAAATGTTTTATACTAACATTGTATCATTACTTAATGTAGGAAGATAACCAAAATGTCTAAAACATGAGAGAGGTAAAATGATGTATTCGACATGCATACGATGCTGTATTGGTTATTAACACAATGTTTAGGATGTATTTACAATGATTTGGGTTATGCTCATGTAATACTAAGTGAAAAGAGCAAGGAGGGCAGAGAGAATATTACATCAATTGAATCATGCTATGCAGCCATTCACTTAAAACATATTTCCCTAAAACATGTATCATTGACTAAAGACAACAAAGGCCACTATTGAAATTTAAGCAAATATATTTTTATTCTTATTGCTAGTGATCACCAGCTGGCTAAAATTGATTAATATCTCATAGTTCTAGCTTTATAATCCTTTTCTTTCCTTGGGTTTGTGAATTTATTTCCCTGGGAAAAATATCGCCAAGGTGTACAAATCACATTGTATTTCAGTAAATATTTAACAAAAAGCATATGAGATTTGGACTATGCTTAGAAAATCCAAGGCATATACTTACTGGCAGGCCGTAGCACATTGTCATTCATTCGGTAAACAATTGCTCACTTAACAAATATTTATCAAACACTACTTAAGTCTTTGCCAGAGGCTGAGAACTTAAAGATGGATGAGACACGCCTGATCTCAGCGAGCTGATGGTCTGGTGCGGGGGCCTGACAAATGAGTAAACCGACAGTTGCAAACCTGTGTGAGAAGGGTTGCGATGAAAGTGTGCACAGGGCACTTGGAAAGCCCACGGCAGGAGCACCCAGCCAATGCAGAGCCATGGCCATTGTCCTCTCTTGTTTAACTTAATATGATGTTTGAAGATCGTGTTGTCTCTACTCTTTCCTGTGACTCTTGGTAAAGGCCTTTGGCCAAGGCAACGCAGTTCTGATCCAGCAACCTTCTAGTGCCTACTAACTCTGCTAATTTATTGCTTAATGATCTAGAGGAGTCAAGGAAACCAAGGTTTTCACCAGACTCTGAAAGCTGTCTGCCTGAAAAATGGCATCTACGCCTCCAGGACTCGGGCAAGAATCGACCTAAATGAAGCCATCACTCGGCCCATCTATGACCAGATCGACCCTGTTTTTGGAGACATTTTTAGGTAAAGGATCTTCTATCTTGTGCCTTCGTGAACAAACATCTGAAGAACATTGAGCCAGAGTCTCATCTTTAAGAATTTATACTTTGGATCTGGAAGTGTAAAGAGTAGCTTGTAACTTGAGGAGGAAGGCTTAGTCTTTGGCAAAACACAAAAGCCCTCTTGGTTTGGTTTACTTAAAAATTTCCCATGCTGACCTGGAGCACGGATCGAGATGTTGCTTTCAGACTAATATTATGATTCCCGTTATTTTTCAAAGATCTCACACATGCAGCGGGGGATAACTTTTCTTGTGGATCTAAGCCCAGGACAGAGTATTTTGATTGGAGAGCAGAATTAAGCAAACACATGGCCTTCAGAACTTTCCCTGCATGCACCGAGGACTCTGTTTCTGACACACTCATGGCTCACAAACATGGCGTGGGCTGGGGGGTGTGTACCTCCTTGTTGCCCCCCTTCCTTCCCTCCTTCCCCGACCTCCAATCCTTTCCTTCATCGACAGAAGCAGAATCTCTTGGTCCCTGAGTGTAGCCGCCTGTCCCTGTCTCTCTTCTCCTTCCCTGCTGGCGTCCCACCTGGTTGCCTACCTGCTGTGGCCTGAGCCATTCTCCTACCTTTGCTTGTGTTTTATCCAGTGCCTCCTTGCCCCAGCTTTCTTTAAACATGTCTTGGATCCTGTCATTCCACCTACACCCACCCCTGTGTACAAGTCTGTGGGCTAGACGCCAAATTCCTCAGAATGGCACTTGAGCCATTCCTGCCTCTGGCTGGCCTTCCCAGCCTCTGCCTGCGCTGTCACTGGTCGCAGCCCCCTCTGGAACCAGCTGGCAGTAGCAAAGAGCAACTGCCACATCCCAGGTACCACTCTAAGTTCTTGGCCTGCATGAGCTCACCGAACGCTCTCCAGAACCTATGAAGTGGCTTCTTGCTTTTTCATCCAAACGAACTGAGATTCAGAGTGTGCAATTTTCCCAATGTCTCCTGGCTCACGAGAAGAGAGCTGGGACTTACAGCCTGTGCTCTCTCCTCCATAACCTGTCACTTGACACTCCTGGAATATTCTGAAACCACTGTGTTCACTGGGTTGTACCCTGGCGAAAATTCCTCTTTCTCCCCACGAATCTAACCCAACTTTTAAGGTGTAGTTCAAGTCCCACTCTTCCAAATGGAAACACCTTTGCAGTGGAAAGACTGTGAGTTTTGTGGTGAAAGCAGTGTTCCAAGCTTGGCTTTGCCTCCTGCTAGCTGTGTGGCCTCAGACACATCAGCAGTCCTCTCTGATCCTTGATCTTCTCATCAGTAAAATGGGCATTGTCACACTGATTTGCAGGCTTTTATGTCAAAGGCCTGGCACAGCACAGTGCCTGGCATGTTATAAGAGTTTGACAACCATTAGGTCTCATCCCCTTCCCTTAAATGAATAAAAGGACACCAGTTGGTTTCATGCTTGTTTCAGCATCACAGTTGCCACCATGGTCTCTTAACCTTTTCCACTGATTTCTTCCATAGGACCGGGAAGCCCACTGGTTCTGCTCTGATGCCTCACATAGATGCTTTTAAGCACTCTCTGCAAGAGAAAATGATGGAAATTGGGATTAAAAATGACTGGAAATATGATAGCTGCAAAAATAATTTCCTGATCCAGGAGGTAAGTTACTTATAAAGTGAAAGGGTGGTGAGCTTGGCTGTGGCTTTCTTCCCAGCCGGGTCTTGGAGGCTGCCTGTCTCTCCCCGCACATTCTGCTGGGTTGCTTGGGGTCAAAACATACCTTATAGGAAGCTCTGTGAAATACAGAACCTGATGGGATGGGGAGAAATGTAGCCCTAAGACCACCACAGGGGTGTGGGACATTTGGTTCCACTGTGAAGAAGCTGGTAGCACATGCTTGTAAAGTTAACTCAGTTCCCAGGAAGAATCTTCAAAGAATCTTTAGATGTGTGAAAATTTGCATCAACTTGTAACATTTTCACTATCATTTTTGCCAGTAGTATAGTGTCCAAAGCAGTGAAGCTTAAAGAAATCAGGGTTTTTGTTGTTGTTTGTTGTTTTTTGCAGATCATTCTTTAGTTGTGAGGGCTCAAGGCTCTTGTCCTCTGTGGTTCACTAGACAGGGACAGCCCCAATTACGTGGCAACGCTAGAGGATAACTTATGCAGCCGGGCTTGGTGGCTCAGCCTATAATCCCGCATCTTGGGAGGCTGAGGTGCGTGGATTGCCTGAGCCCACGGGTTCGAGACCCGCCTGGGCAACTTGGTGAGACCTCATCTCTACAATAAATCAAAAAATTAGCCGGGCGTGGTAGCGTGCACCTGTAGTTCCAGCTACTTGGAAGGCTGAGGCGGAAGGATCGCCGGAGCCCAGCAGGTCGAGGCCACTCCCGGCCACTGCACTCCAGTCTGGGCGACAGAGTGAGACTCCAACTCAAAAAAAAAAAAAAAAAAGGAGAATAGCTTCTGCTTTCCTTAACCCCTCAAAGAGGGCCCATACTGGGGGCCATTCAACTCAGCAAGTACTACTGGGTTTTGTAGAGGCCAGGCACCGTGGGAAGCACTTTGCGATTTAAAGATGCTTAGGACAAAGTTTCTGCCTATGAGGAGCTCACAGCCTCGTTGTGGCGATGACATATACACAGCCAACCATGATATGAGACAGAAGGAATGGTGGCCACACGGGGACACTTGACCTGCCTCTGTTGAAGGAATTGTCACAAATGACCTCTGTTGACATGGCTTCCCAGATAAGCGCCATCCTGGGAGGCCTGGAGGGCCACGTCCTCAGGAGGAAGAGGAGGATCTATGAGTCGCTCACCACCTCTGTTCAGAACGACCTGAAGCCCTGCTACGAAGGTGGGGCTCCCGGGGCGACGCGCCCTGGTTCTGAGTCTTCCTGTGGGTGCCCAGCGCATCCTTTTCTGCGGCTCCTGCCTCCTGGTGCTTGTGGTGCTCTCTGCCAACATGCGGAGACCGATGATTGCAGGGGGTGAAGGTGCCACGAAGGCCACTTCTTATCTGTTTCTTTCCAGTTCTTTCCATCCACACTGTGCCTCAACACCTTGCCTCTGCCCACGCTGCACCTCAGTTGATTTAGCAATAAGACCCAGGATCCCGTTCTCATTCTTGTTTTCTTCAAGGATCTGTGAACTTGCTTTTAGGCTCTTGCCCATCTTGGCGGCACCGTGGTCTGGGAGTTGGGGGCGATTTTGTCAGTGTCTGCTTCATTCACTCATCAGGATTTCTGAATGATAGTTACAGCCTGAGTATTGGTATTTTATATAAATATTTTTATTGTTATATAAAATATATTTTACATGCTATTTTTGCATAAATGTGCTTATGTATTAATATATGTGTGTGTATGTATATATATATGTGTGTGTGTGTGTGTGTGTGTGTGTATACACCCACATGTAGATATATTGTTTTGTTTGCTTTGCTTGTTTTTCTTTCTGAAGGCAAAAATTTCTAAGCAAGTCCTTTCCATGTGTGACTGTCACTATCATTTTTGCCAGAGGCAGCTCAGATCACTGGCAAAAAAGCGTGTGAAAGAATGAAAGATGTCATCAGAAGAGGGGTGGACCGGCAGGTGGCCGAGGGCATGTTTGAAAGGGCTCAAGAGAGGATGCAGCACCAGTTTCAGCAACTGCAGGTATCCTACATCCGTGGTCTGAATCCCAGGCCCAGGGTGGCTGCCGAGAAGTAGAGGAAATGTGTGTAGAAGGTGAAAAACATAGCAGGCATTTGGGCCCAAATGGAACCCACGCCTTCTGCCCAGTGGGCCCAGCCAAGGCCCACGATGCCAGGAGAGGGGCCACTGCACTCGCATGTTGGCACCAGCTCCCTTGTGAGGCTGTGATGCCAGAGCTGCATCAGAGCCGCGTCTCTTGCCTCCTTTTCCCCTTCTAAGTCAACAATAGAACAGCAGCCATGACATCCAGACAAGTGCTCAGCTCTTTGCAGACATGGCTCATTGAATCCTCAGCTAGTCTGTGAGCAGGTACTATCACTGTTGTCATCTGAGAAGAAAACTCTGGCAGTGAGAGGTGTATCAACAGGCCACACAGCCGGGACGATGCCGAGCTGGTTTGGGACCAGGGAGCCTGGCTCCAGCACCTCCCACAGTAGCATAACCTCCAGGCAGGCTTTTTTAAACGAGGGAAGTGCCTTGTCTGCATAAAATGTCAATAAATAAATGCCAGTCCCTATTGAAGGACGCTTAGTCACAGTACCTAGCCCAGACTGAGCTTTGATTCTGTCTACTCTGGAAGGCAGTTCCTAACAGTCTCCACAGACCTAAGTCCTCCTGCCAGGCACACTTGGACCACCTTGCCTCAGCTCCAAGGCTCTTGGCTTGCCACTCCTTCTCCTCCAAATCGCAGAAGTCCTTGGTTTTAGTCGAAGGAACTATGGACTGCCCCAAGGGCCATGTGAGGCTCTAGATTCTTCTGCCTCAGTTAAGGCTTGTCGGCCCTTCCTCCCAATTGTTCAAGGACGCTGACCAGCGGCCATCTCAGTCCATGTCTGAACTAGCCTTCGTGAAACATTTCCAACCTGCTTCTGTCCAATCTTCTTCCCTCCTTCTACAATTGCAATTTTGGAAAATACCTTCTCTGTGATACAAAGCCTGTACTTTACCTTGCCATAGGCTAAGAGGGCTTTCATTCACTAGCAGCAGTTTGGTTTCCAGCCTTGTATATATTATCACAGTCTGCAAATACCCTGGCAGGAAATTGGTGAACTCTACAAAGGCAATCCCCATTTCCCCATTGACTCATAAAAATTCTGACCTAAGGTGTCCAAGAAAACAGTTCCATTGACTATGTAAAATGATTAGTCCATTGACCATGTACCAATTACAGAAACTCAGAAGTTAAAACTGGGCAAAACCATTGAACATTCCTAGTCCCCGATTTTTTTTTTTTTTTAGAATGCCAGTTAATTTTTAATTGTTGAAAATATTTTAGTTCTACATAATAGATGGAATTTTTTTTACATAATATTTAATATTTGGAGATTTACTGATTTTTTAAAATTACCTCTTCATAATATTCTGATAAGTTGAAGAATAAAAGAACATTTTGTTGAATATGCTGACTAATCTCTGGTATGATCAGTAATATGGCTTGCTGATTTGCTTTCACTCTCGAGTGAGGGGGCTGCTTCTTCTGATTTTAGGAGCTGTGGTTCCTCTATCTTCTGATCTTAAAGGTGAGGAGGCTGAGGTCTGGGGAGCCCCTAGCTCGGGGCTTACAGCTAGAGCTGAGACTTGAGCTCAGGGTTCTTGGTTGAGCACGAGAAGGAAAAGCATACGATTTGAGATCTAGGTTCAAACTAGACTCTGCCAGGCTACAGGAAGGAATCTGGTGTTTATCAAAAGGAGGCAAGTGACAGAAGAGGGAAGAAAATGGCTCTAGTTGATACCCAGGCAGCAGGGAAGAAGCGTCAGACGTGTCAAGGAAGGTGTGATGCTTTTGCTGAAGGTCCTTTGCCCAGTGGCCAAATGCATGAGAGGAAGTGGAAGAGTGATGAGCTCTTGTCGTTTCTCCCCATCCCTGTGGTTGCTGGTCCCTCCCCCACACCCTCATGCATCCTCGTCAGCTCCTGATTCAGCAGGTCAGCCCCAGAGGTACAGTCCCCGAACATCTAGACAGGCAGGGAAGGAGGGGCTGAGACAGGCGAAAGCCCATAGAAATGTTGCCCTGCTGACTCATGGGGTGTTCGGTGTACTCTAAAGGGGTTCACTTTTGGACCTGACTTTGACTTTGGTGACCCCAGTCTGTACCCTCTTTGGGGGATGGGGTGGGGTCCCTTTTAATAAGATTCACTTTCACTTGGGCTGTGCCATCCTAACAGATTGCGTGTCCTTGTTGTGTAGACCGCGATCATGGAGAAGATGAAGGGCAGCCTCGCCACCATGTTGACCCTCGCTTCATCCCAGGGCGATGGTCTCTTCAAGGAGCTTGCAGGTAAATATGTAAAAGCTTTGCATAAAGGGTGATTGTGCAGGTACTCCGACTCTGGTTGCTTCTTACTGACTGGAAAGGAAGTTAGGAAGAATTTCCAGGGCAAGGCATGGGTAGGATGATGGCAACGACTGTCCATAGCTGAGACCAAGCAGTCTACTTGGACTCTGAGTGCATGGCCAAATCCTCACATCAGCTCTCAGAGGTAGATGGATGTCACGGTCCCATTGTGCAGATGGAAAAAGAGAGACTCAGATTAGGTAATACGCCCAAAGCCCCTAGCTGGAAAGTGGCAAATTCAGATCCACAACTCTGCCCTGCTGTCTCCATAAAGCCTTTCTTTTAAGTTGATATCTTCTTGTGAAAAACGTCATCACCCTCTTCTCCCAGGTGGTAGAGAAAGGTTTCTCTTAACCCAGGAGGAGCCTGAGAACACACCACCAGCTGTATGTACTGTTGCAGGCACCCACCTCCCCTTCATGGCACGGGCCCTCCCGAGCCCCCTCGTATAAACTGGAAAGAGTAAACTGGTGCAAAAAGCAATTGGGCAATTTCTAGCAATATTTTAAAAGCGCATACCCTTTTGTCCTACAATCTTGCCTCTAGGAATTTACCTGATAGGAATCCTTATACGGGGAGAATGGCACACAGACAAGGCTATTCAGGATATTGTTGTTTGTAATGTCAAAAATCGGAGCAACTCAAGTATTTGTAAGTAGAGCACTGGTTAAATTAAATTAGATACACAACCAGTGGAGGACTGTGCAACGGTTAGGAAGAATAAAGTGAATTTATAAGTAGTGGTATGAAACAATCTCCAAAATATAAAATGAAAAAAAGCAAAGTGAAAAATGGGTGTGAAATGTTGCCGTTTGTGAGAGAGGGAAAAAAAGGCATGCATATGTATGTGTTGGTGTGTGCATGCAGATCTCCCTGGGATATGCAGGAAACAGGTGGCTTCTAAGGCAGGGACCTGGGAGGCTGGAGGGCAGGGGAGGGGGGAGACCTGCTGTACACCCTGCATGTTTTATACCTTTTACATTTTAAACCACATGCATAGTTGCCCACTAGAATAAAACAATGATGCTTTTGCTGAGCTTGCCAAGGTGAGCGTGGTCAAAGTAGAAGCCACAATTGTTGCTTCTGAATATCCGTTCTACACTCCTCTATCTCTCTGTGAATCATTATGCCCATTTCTGGCTGCCCAGATGGATGTCTGACTTGTTCTTAACAGTCTCCAACACCTTCACACTATGATTTATTGACTCTTCCATGACCTTCTGTCTAGGCCTTTATAGGAATCTAAGTTTTCAGCGTATAGTCATCCAACTGTGTCTTCTTTAAAGAACTCCTACTTGCCAAAGGTCATTCAACTATCCAGGTCTTGCAGACAGAAAATGTTCCCCTAAGTTTGATGTAAATTGTGCCTGCTGTAACTTAAGCCTGTTTCCTTTTCTTCACCATCAGCAACAGATATAGGGGATACTGTGTCAGGTGCTGAGGTTGTCAGGGTCTTACCTGGTTGGTGAGACAAGATGTGTCAGGATGCAAATGACAAGATCGGAGGTGTGCATTCACTTAACAAGTGATTCTGATCACCTCCTGGGTGCCAGGCAGTGTTCTGGGCACCGAGAACATAGCAACGGCCAGTACAGGCAAGAGCCTCTGCCTCCGTGGAGCATACAGCCCAGCAAGCAGACGGCCGGCAATATGCCAACCAATGAGTAAAATATGTAGCAGGGAAAGGGAAGAGGGAATGCTGGGGCAGGGGACAGGTAGCCAAGGAAAGTCTCACTATGGATGTGACACTTGAGCAAAGGTCTGAGGGAGGGGACCCACTCAGACACCAGATCATTATTCTTGATGTTCAGGAGACAGAGTCATTACTCAGAGCTGAAGCACTAAGGAAGCTCCTTGTATGCTGAATCCTGGGGGAAGCCTTGAATGTTAGGCAGGATTCCAGGGGCAGCAGGGCATGGGGGTGGGACAAGACCAAAAGACTCAGGGTCCTAACAGCCTCCTGGTCATGAGTCCCATCACTGGCCAGTCTCAGGAAGGCCAGTCTGAGTTACCATCTGGGGCACATAGAGCCTCACAGGACTGAAAGGGCATTCAGGAGCAATGCTGGAACCAACTCTAAGGTCAGTCAAAAGTGTCCCTTCCAACACTTTGTCAGTCAGGGCTCTCCAGAAAAACAGAACCAAGAGGATGTGTGTATAGATATAGAAAGAGATTTATTTTAAGGAATTGGCTCATACGATGGTGGAGGCTTCGTGAGTCCAGAACCTAGTTCTCGGCTAGGCTAGAAGACTCTGGAAAGAGCTGCGGTTCGAATCCAAAGGCCGATGTCACCCAGGTTGGAGTACAGTGGCCTGACCATAGCTCACTGCAGCTTCAAACTCCTGGGCCCAAGCAATCCTCCCACCTCAGTTTCCCAAGAAGCTAGGACTATAGACACGCACCGACATGGCTGTCTGCTTTTAAAATTTTTTTGTAGAGACAAGGTCTGACTATGTTGCCCAGGCTGGTCTTGAACTCCTGGCCTCAAGCAATCCCCCTGCCTCAGCCTCCCAAAGGCCTGGGACTACAAGTATGAGCCACTGTTCCCAGCCTAGGGTTTTTTAATGGGTGGGTTCGGGTTTCTTTTGAGAGTGATCCCTATGCGGAGAAACTCTCGGGTGGAAGGAAGAAATCTCTGGTTTGACTTGGGTTATTTATGAAGCAAGAAGATTGGCGCGGCTAATCTCCAAACACCACTTCAGACCTTTTATCCTGGGACAAGTGACAGGATTCTTGGGGAGATTGGTTTTCTGGAGACATTTCTAGAAAGGCCTCTGAGTCCTCACGCATGCCTTCTGTTCTCTTGCAGATGTCAAGAATGAACACAGGGAGATGGAGAAGCTGCACAGAAGCCTGAGGGAGGTGGCCGAGAATGCCCTGCTGAGAAGGGGTATGCAAGACTTCCTCCTGAGGATGTCCCCCAGCAAGGCCGGCTCCCGCAGAGCATCGCTCTAACTCTGGGGCTTGCCCCAAAGGGTGAAAAGTAAGCCCAGTGCCAAAAAGTCAGAATCACTTCTGTATTGTGAAATCGAATAAAGAACATCTCCCAACTCTTTGCGCTTTATGTACAATGGAAAACTCAAAATATTGTTGCCTCTGGTATAATTTTATTTTATAGCTAAAAAAGAGTCATCTGAAATCCCTGTTGGAATTTTGAAGCTTTCGGACAAGAAACTTGTGCTTCGTCAAAGAAAGATACCTGCCGGGCTCAGTGGCTCAGCCTGTAATCCTGTGCTTTGGGAGGCTGAGGTGAGTGGATTGCCTGAGCCTGCACGTTTGAGACCCGCCTGGGCAACTTGGTGAGACCTCATCTCCACGACAAATAAAAAAAGTAGCCGGGCATGGTAGCGCGCGCTTGTAGTTCCACCTACTTGGAAGGCTGAGCGGAAGAATCGCCGGAGCCCAGCAGGTCGAGGCTGCGGTGGCTGGGAGCGGCCACTGCACTCCAGTCTGGGCGACAGAGTGAGACTCCAACTCAAAAAAAAAAAAAAAAAGAAAAGAAAAATACCTAAACATCCAAAAACGTAAATAGTATGGTAAAAAATTGCAAGATATAAAATACACCATGAAAATAAGCTCATGCTTCACTAAGGAGAGTGATATAAACATTGAAAAATGTAATATTATGGGAAAAACTACAAAATGAAACTTCAGGGACCCAAGTCTACTTTTCGTTTTAATACCAATGAGACATTTGGGGTAGGAGGCAACACTGTGTGGTGGGCACAACCTGAGTTAGGGAGCCAAGTGGCCATAGACCCAGCTTTCCGCTTCTCAGGTGTGTTACCCAAGACCAGCCCTTCTCCAACACGCGGGTCTCAGGAGCCTTCACTCTCGAGGCCCCTGGAGAGCTATTGATATGTGCTGTCATCAGAATTAAAATGAAAAATATTTTTATGGAAAAAGCTATTTCCCCTCCCCCAGAAAATGTAGTGACGTTATTATTACTATTTTTGAGTTGGAGTCTCACTCCGTCGCCCAGGCTGGAGTGCAGTGGCACACACACAGCCATCCCAGCATCGGCCTGCTGGGCTCCGGTGATCCTTCTGCCTCAGCCTTCCAAATAGCTGGAATTACAGGCGTGTACTACCACGCCGGCTAATTTTTTTTTTGTTTTAGAGACAAGGTCACACCAAGCTGCCCGGGCTGGTCTCAAATCTGTGGGCTCAGGCAATCCACTCACCTCGACCTCCCAAAGTGCTGGGATTATAGCCTGAGCCACTGAACCCGGCTGACATTATTTTATAGCTTTGCAAACCTCTTTATTCTTTGGTTAAACAGAAGACAGCTGGATTTTCATAACAGTTTCTGCACCCAGTCTGTTGCAATATGTCTTTCTGGTTGATGTTTATCTCACACAGAATTCTATCTCACACAGAAATGCAGCTGGAAGTATTTTAGTCAGGTAATTTCTGGATATTCTTTGATACTATAATCTGGACTAATGGTATTTTCTTAAAGGTTAGTTGCAGTGTGGAATATGAAACCATACCAGTGAACGTTTTTTCATGCCCTGTTACACCAAAACCCATTGGATTATCTTGTACTTTGGATTTTTTACCCATGCATATTTTGTGGTGTCAGACATTTGGTCATTTTGAACATATTTATTCACCGAGTTAAGCAGATATTCAAAATGTTGATGCATTTTATTGTACCATGCCACAAAATCATATTGTCAATATCTCTACCCATCTGATAAGGAAAGTCTTGAAGTATTGGGAAGCTGTCAAACTCAGTGGAAGATACAAGTTTTACAAACCTTCCCCAGTTTTTCTCTAAAAGCTCATCTTATCATTGGCAACAAATGTCATCGGTTGTTTTCTTTGAAGTTATTGTTTCATTTTGTTCATTTCTGAAAAAATGCCCACTGTATAACCACACATGATTAACCATCTGTCAGTTGTTTTAGATAAAAAATGATGTTCTATGAAACAAGTGTCAAGTTCAACTCACAATCCAAGCTCTGGAGGAAGTGTTCTTCCTTGAGGGAGCAGAAGTACTTTAAGTGTACCTCCCATTTTGTCACACAGAATGGTATCTACATAAGTGTCAATAATTGATACAACTAATAACATACTGTTTCACTAAGAAAATTCTTATGTGAAACTGGCTTTTTAAAAACTGCAAGCACGTGATGGTGGAAAATACCTGAGTTGTGAGCAGTTTGGTGCCACTGCTCTGGTTCGTGCTAAAACACAGGTACTTTTGCCTTCTTTGCTTTTATACCTTTAGTGCAAGTGTCAATGTGGTTAAAAAAAAAAGAAGCAAATCCTTCCCTTTTCATTGCAATATTTTTTTGCCTAAGATTTTAAAAAAGGATGCAGCCAAGTAAGTAGGTCTCAGAGGTTCCATCCATTTTAATCTTCTAGACACACAGAGCTCTATTGCAGTTTGCATAGTTCACTTTTCATATTTCACATGAGAGATGTAGAGGACTTCCACTTCCAGCCATGGTAAAGTGACAGCATCGGATTTATGCTCTGGTCGTTGGCAGCAAAAGAAACAAACAAAATTTATGGAACAACCTTTTTTAGTTGTGGGAAAATAGTGCAGGACAGTGATCCCTGAAGGAAGGGAGATAAGGCCAGCACGACAATTGTTCCATCTTGCTACCTAGGTCGTTTTCTAGACCACAGTATGGGAGTGGGGACTCCAACGAACAGGGTAGTCTTTCTGAGCTGAGGAGACAGAGGTCAGAGTTTGAGAAATCAAAGGGGATTGGAATTCACAGGGCAGAGTACTATGGAGAAGAGAGCTGAACGGAGAGCTCTGGAGACATGAAGCAGGTATCCCTTGAGTCTTTACCTGAGTCTGATTAGCACGTGCATAGGAGGAAACTACCAAGAGTAAGGAAAAAAGCACCAGAACGAATCAGGCAGAAAAATTCCCAAAGCTCAGTTCAAGGTAGAGTTGCCAGGGTGGAAAGACCTTCTTACACACAGGGCATCAAGTAGACTGCTCAGAAGAGTATTGCCTTCTAGTGGAGCCAAGATAGTCCTAGATGAAAGGCTGTGCCTCCACCTAACCAAGTGTAAAAACAGGTTGCAGAAGGATTATACTGTTTCCAAGTAACCTAACTACATCCCAGAGCAAAACATGAAAACATTTAAAGGACTAAAGAATTCCAGCACTCAACCATGGAAAATGGATGTGTTTGGCATCAAAGCAAAAATTACTAGATATGCAAAGAAATAGGAAACTATGGCCCATAATGAGGAGAAAAAAATCAATAGAAACAGATGCAGAAATGACACTGGTGGTAGAATTAGTAGACAAGGTTATTAGAATTGCTATAATAAATTTACTCCATATGCTTAAGATGATAAAATAAAGCATAAACATAATGAGAAGAGAAATGAAAGAATGAAATGAAATTTAAAAGACTCAAATAGAACTTTTAGAGATAAAAAAAAAAACCTCTCAATATCTGCATGGGATTAACCGCAGAACAGATGCTGTGGAAAAAAAGACAAGCAAGTAAACTTGAAAACAGAGCACTGGAAACTCTCCAAAAGGAAACACAGGGGGGAGAAAATGGGGAAAGAAAAATGACCAGAGCATTAATAAACTATGGAGCATCATCAAGCAGCCTAAAATGTGTATTACTGGACTCACTAAAGGACAGAAAAGAGATGAGGATACGGGGGAAAAAAATCTAAGAGAAGGGTGTTTGAGAGCTTTCCAAGCTTGATTTGACAGCAACAAAAACTATAAATCCACAGATCTGAGATGCTCAACAAAATCCAAGCACAAGAAAAATACAGAAAACCATAAGACATATCATAATCAATTGACTGAAAAGCGGTGATGAAGAGAAAATGTTAGAAACAGCTGGGTGTGTGGGGGGAAGTGGATATTACTTCCAAAAGAACAAAAAATGACAGCAGGCTTCTGATTGGAAACAATACAAGCCAACAGGCAGTGGAGTGAGCTTGCTCTTTCTTTTTCTTTCTTTTCTTTCTTTCTTTCTTTCTTTCTTTCTTTCTTTCTTTCTTTCTTTCTTTCTTTCTTTCTTTCTTTCTTTCTTTCTCTTTCTCTCTGTCTCTCTCTCCCTCCCTCTCTCTCTCTCTCTCCCTCTCTCTCTCTCTCTCTCTCTCTCTCTCTCTCTCTCTCTCTCTTTCTTTTTGTGTCAGAGTCATACTCTGTCACCCAGGCTGGAGTGCAGTGGCACGATCATGGCTCACCACAGCCCTAACCTCTTGGACTCAAGCAATCCTTCTGCCTCAGCCTCTGGAGTAGCTGGCGTGTGTTACCAGGCTCAGCTAATTTTTTAATTTTTTTTTTTTTTTGTAGAGATGAGATCTCACTCTATTGCTTAGGCTGGTCTCAAATTCCTGGGTTCAAGCAACCCCCCACCTTGGCCTCCCAAAGTGCTAGGATCACAGGCGTGAGCCACCATGTCTGAATACAAGTTGTTGTTGTTGTTGTTGTTTTAGAAACACTGTCTACTTACTAGCAGAGATGAGAGCTCCCGTGTCATTGATGCCTGACCAAATGGGTATTATCCTTTTCTGCAGTACGTTAATGGGACAGATTTTTTTTTTTTTTTTGAGTTGGAGTCTTACTCCATCACCCAGGCTAGAGAGCAATGGCACACTCACAGCAACCTCAGCATCGACCTGCTGGACTCCAGTGATCCTTCTGCCTCAGCCTTCCAAGCACTCGGAACTACGGGTGCGCACTACCATGCCTGGCTAATTTTTTGAGTTATTGTAGAGATGAGTTCTCACCATGTTGCCCAGGCTGGTCTTGAATCCGTGGGCTTGGGCAATCCTCTCGCCTCGGCTTCCCAAAGTGCTGGGATTGCAGGCTTGAGCCACCATGCCCGGTCGGGACAGATTTTTTTAAGTACCATCTTGCACTCTTGGTTTGTTAGTGATGTTGAACATTTTTCATGTTTACTTGAATTGCTTCTTTTCAATGGTCTTTTCTTTGGAGTTCTCCATCACTTT